GAGAACTGAAGAGTTTCTAAAAAGCACAGTTAATCATAATTCATCCTTGGTAAAAGAACTGGAAGCCAAAATTCTTCAACAACTTCTAACCTTTCCAAAAAATAAAAAAGCAAAAGGGGTTCTTACGTCCATTTATTTACCGAAAATTCTTCTGAAAGCTCAGGCATGAACTAATCCGGTGAGTGTGAGGTCCAGGTGCTTGTTCTGTTTTCCTGGACGTCCCCCTGCCTGGGGGTCTGAGCTCTAAGAACTGCACTGGGGCGGAGGGGTAGGGGGCTCCCAGGCTTGGGTTCAGGGAGAACAGAGGCCGGAGGAGATCATCATTGAGGTGGCTCTTACTCACTCTGGTCTGGACTTGAGGCAGAAGCCGCACGTCCCTTAGCTCCTGGTGCTGGCCCTTCCCTCCCCGGAGATGCAGCTTCTGCTGGGTTGCAACCACTTCTAGTTGTTGCTAATGGGCCTTAAACCTGCTGATGTCTCGGCTGCCTAGTAACCCCTTCACTGAAGTCTCTTGAACTCCAGCGGATGTCGGAATCTCTGGCAGGGACCCCAACTAATACATCCATAAGAAGACACCCCTGCCTGACCTAGGACAGTGTCATTCTGATTTGCTGGACACTGATGGACATCAGCTAGGCCAGTACTGGTATTCTATCAGTAAGACTAGAAGATAATATGACTAAGTTTGCAAGCTGATGGCCTAGAACTTGTCTGTCCAAATTTTATTGCCCCCTCAAAGTCAACACCTTAGGGTGCTTTAATACCCATTCCTTTGAGGATGGCCAACATGGTAAAACATGCTGAGGTTGCCTTTTAGGATCTCCTGTAGTGTTCATAACACATTATCCTGAATAATGCTGGAAAATGATCCTCCTTTGATAGCAGATTTAATTCCTAACAACATGCGATACACAATACACGTATGAAAATTAGCAATAGCTTCAGTATGTTTATATGCAAACTTCACCAATGTCCTCAAAATGTCTTTTAGTAGCTTGTTTTTTCCTTTAAGCCAGTGAGTTGCCTGAGTTGCTTCTGTTTGTCTCCTTTGTGTTGTTAGGGGCGCGGAGATGTGACTCCGTGTGTGCAACTCTGCTCCCCTGCGCGTGTGTAACGCCACAGCTGTATCCGCTGACTCCCGTGGAACCCCCAGGAAAGCTAAGAGTGTTCCTGACGCTGCCCGAGACATGCTTAGGTATGGGAGGAGGCGAGTCAGTCCGTTCAGAAGGGCCATTACATTGGCATGAATAGTCATCATTTTCCTTTTGCATGTTAGGACACACAGAAAATAAGGCTATTTCCGTAGTACCCTGAGGTAAAGAAAGGAGGCTCCAGCTGCCTCAGGTCCCCAGTGCCAAGGATTGGGGGGACCCCCACTTGCAGCACCCCTTGGAAATGTTGGGACCAAAAGCAGGGCAAGGATGCGTCCCGTGTTTCTTTATGCCTCAGGAGATTCTTCTTTCCAACCCCTAGCATGCGACCCCCTCAAAAGAGCCCAGGCTGGAGCCTCGCCCTGTCCCCTCTCAGCAACCACATATGCATGCACCCCCCCACCCCCGGAAAAACAGATGGAGACGGCTTTTTCCATGTTATTTATTCAGTCAACTAGCTACATGAGGGGGATAAACAAATTAGTTGGAGTTTTGTGGGGGTAAAAGGGGGGTGAGTGGAAGGGTGGGATTTAAACAGAACACAATCTTATAAATGGCTAGATGGAAGATTTACAAATATCCATTAAAAAAATAGTATCCCCTGAGGCTAACAGAGGAAGATCACGAATCATCAAGAATACAATCCTTCAGCAACTTCTATTCATTGCATTCCCCCAAACCAAAGTCTCCAACAACGCTTTGCATTTCAGCCCATCATGATTTGCAGATACTTATGTGATACATATTTTCAATGCAGAAAAATAATGACTAACACTGAGTAACAGATTAATACAATGCAGAGGAAAACTGAGTACATGAAAATAGCTATCATCTGGTAGCAAAAATAGATTTATGCTGATGTTAATATCAAAATTAAAGACATTCAAATAAATTTTGCCAAGACATTAGAACTATTACTCCTCAGATCATAAGAACAACTTCTTATTGCTCCTACACATAGCTCAAAGGTCTGAGGAAATTCTGGGAGAGCTGGAAGGCATGTATAATTAATAGAATGTGCAGTTGACCTACGGTAAGGTTCAACAGCCAAATAAAAACTTGGTAGTTTATCATTTTTCTTTTGCAGTCGCCATTGTTAATAGTAGAACAAGACCACTCATCACAAATCTGGAAAACACAGATGAAGGACAGCACTCAAAACCTAAGCAAATGATTTATGGGAAGTAATCAAAAGTAGGCTGAGAAAAGCAGCAGCCTAGATAAAGAAAACATTTGAAACATGGGTTTGTATATTTTCCTCTCCTCCGGAGTCCCACAGGAGGGCGTCTGGGGACTGGGCAGGTGACTGGCCGGCTGTCCTCAAGCGACCTTTTCCAGCAGTACGACTGGCCTGGCTCCCAGCGGCTGCAGAGCGCAGGACAGCGGCAGTGAGACTGTCGACACATTCGACTCCAGGAAACACTGACCTGGGCTTTGGAGCCCGCGGACCAAAGCGATGAGCTGCCCAGCTGCACGGAGACTGTGGGCTCCTCCCCTGTGGGTCTCCTGCCGCTCAGCTGGGGCCTGCGGGGCGTCACCAGCGGCCCCAGGGACAGCTGAGTCGCTGTGTGGACTGCACCAACTCCCAATTTCAAGGATATCCATGCAATTCACCATAAATTGGGACAGAATAATCAGAACGAAAATGCAGGTTATGACACATGTCTTAAGTGGTGCAGCGATTAGTATTATTTAATTGGAGATTTGGAGTCCAGGAAGCTAGATTTTTACGTCAATTCTGCCCAAACAATACCATGTTTCTGTTTTCTTCATCTTAATAAGAAAAAACAATGCCACTGAGCTACAAATTAGGTGGCAAAGTGCTTTTGAGAAATAGAGACTGAAGAGAAAAAAGCAGCCATTTCCTGCTCAAGGTGGTTTTTAGATGATGATGTCAGGAAGCATTCCTAGGCTGTTCAAGTATCCAAAAAACCCTTCCGAGATACCAGAACCAACCAGTAGATTTAAAAATCTGCACACAGTTCTGCATCACATTCTAATTCCTCCCCTTCCTCGCCACAAATAAGATGACTACAAAGATGGTATTTGGTCCATTTATCCTTGTGATTACAAAATACAACATAATATCAGTTGAAATAAGAGTACTGAGACAAAGAATTTATAATACTGTAGGACAAAGCTACATCTGTTCAGTTTTGTTTTGTTTTTTTCTTTTTTGAAGCCACCTTCTAGAACAGGCCTACTTAATAGTCAGTATTACTAAAATTCTACATTTATCTTCACTCTCTGAAAACTAGATTTGTTTTCCTCTTGAGTAGCCTGAAATCTATAGACTGCTTCTTCCTGCCTGGGAGCAGGATCTGGATCTATGCTTGAAAAGGAAAGAACAATGCACACACCAAAGAATCTGACTGGGTCATTTAACTCCTCAGAAATGGAGATGCCACTCACATTGTGTTCATCCTAACATCTTGATGAAATGGAATGGATGAATGCAATATTTGATGAGTTTATTGTTTTTAAAATGCTAGTCACTTGCAGATTTCTCTCCACTGTGAAAACCTAACACTGTCCAACTGGTTACTTGGTGTGACATTGAAAAATCATGCATTCTTTTTTCCTGGTATTTATTCTACTTTTTTTTTTCCATAATATTCTACATGCTCTTAAGTTATTTAAATATATAAAAAATATTTTGGGGAGCCATCTTTTATACTACACCATTTTATTTCATACTCCATAGAATTATTATGAACATTAGAGTAAAAGGCTTAAAAATTAGGCTTTGGTTTTAATGTAATCTGGGCAGAAGTTGGAATTGCTTTGGTAGCACAGTGTAACTACTGCACAAATTCTGTTCTGTAATTTCAAATGACACATTTACAAAGACAAAACTTCCCCGTACAGTAGTTATAATCTGTATAATTCAGGACTGCTGCAAAACTCATGAGAGAGACGTGAGTAAGAAGAGAGTGCAGAAAAGGGATAAGACACTTAAAGCTTTATCAGAACTCAACACAAAGGAAGAACATCAATTCTCTACACACATCTATAAGGCAGATGGTTGAACTTTTTATACAAGATCTAAAATACAGTGCTTATTAAGAGGTAGAAAATACCACAACAGTATTTTAAAACAATTAATTATTTTGCTAAATGTTTACAAAGTTGCACTGGTGTGTGGAATGTGCTAGACGTTTTACGCGAAACTGGGACATTCCACCCTCAGCAGGGATGTGGCCAAACAGGGCAGGGAGCTGGGCTGGTGGAAGCCAAAAGTGGTTTCTTGTCAAGGATTCAGCTCTCACTAAGGAGAAATTTCCCACCGCCTCTCTGGGATTTCATTTGGACATTTAACTAATGGGGATTTTTCTCCGATGAACAACAATTTCTCTGAGCAATGACCAGTGTAATTCTGCCCAAAAGGCATTAAAAACTATGGGGAGGGATGAGCTCAAGCACTTCCTCTTCAAGGTACCATATGCACCTTATATAAAAACACATTCCACTAAACTTACTCCATCCTCTCTACCACCCACATGCAAATGCAAACACCCTTCAGAATCCAGCACCAGCACGATTGCTCTGTGTGAGCAAGTCAGTAGCTGTCTGAGGCAAAGAGACTGAGCTACCGAACTACACTTGGGCAGCATACACACGGGTGAGTAGCCCTGGGCATTCTTATTTCTTAATGCACCTGGGAGAGATGGGTTGTTTTTTCTCCAACATAATTTTATAAGGCATAAATTCAATCTGAATTTTCCTAACCTTTGGAAAATTAGTGTTAAAGCTTCTTTTGCAACCCATACATTAACATTGAATCTTTCATTTTTATTAAATACTTTATATATATATAAAAAAAGAAATATCAAGGTGTTCTACATTTATATAAACAACCATAACATTTGAAATTGTAAAGAACCCTACTGAAGAAAATATATAGTGCCTGAATACTTACAACGCCAAGCTAAGCACAAGTGATCAATCTAGATAATATTTTCTATATATATAGACACAGGTTTGTAGCTTCGGAAAGCTGACACAGGAGAAGTACAAGAGTGTATCGCTCTGCTTCTGTTTTTCACCACAAGACAGGATGGTCCACTTGGGAAAAACCAAGATCCTTCCTGAGTTCCAAGTAGGTGCCGTTGCTCACCCAGGAATCATCATCCGATTTCCTGTGAAAGGTGACAGAATGTCTTGAAGGCTTTTCAAAGTACCATCCTCTGCTCTCTCCTCTGCCCCTCCTTTCCTCTCCTTCCCCCTACCACTCCCACATGGGTGCAAAATCCCGGATAGCCCAGCATTGGAGCTGTGAGGGAGCTGGGGCCTGGAAGCCACTGCTTATTTCTGACTTGGACTTCCCTGCGAGAAGGGAGCCACCTCCTGGGGTACGACTGTGCAAAAGCCAAGTCAGCCAGGTTGTTCCTGGTTATCAACTGAATAGGAAGCTGTAACAGCCTGGGAAAGGTCACCTTGGTTCACTATTCTTTGATGATAAATCAAAATTCAAAAGGCACTAAAGGGTGAATAGCTGGAAGTTTTTTTTCCTACTCCTGTCTCCTCGTTCTCCTCAGAGGCAATGGTCTTTTCAGCTTTTTTCAGGGAAATTTCTTCCATGCATGAACATGCACATACACATACACATACCCACAGACTCCACCCCTCTCCCATCCTTCTGCCTTTCAGGGCTGTTTTGGTGGCGCACGACCATGCCCAGCGCGTAACTGCTGTCTGCGGCTGCTTTCACGCCGCACAGTGAGCTCACGTCATCACTACGGAGACCTCATGGTGCGCAGAGCTGACGGCACTAACCATTGGCCCTTTACAGGAGTTTGGTGATTCTGGTCATAAGAGATTCCTCTTTTTTTTTTTGACCAGTTACATAATATTCCACTGTAGGGATGCACCTCAATTTACAGGTACCCTACTGGAGGGCATTTAGAAGGGGTTTTTTTTTTTCAGTTTCTAGCTATTATAAATATGTTTATAATAATCTAATAAACACATATGTTATTTTATAGGTACATGAGTAGTTACATTAAAAATTCCTGTAAGGAGAACTGCTGAGTCAAAGAGTATGTGGATCCGTAATTTTGATGGCTATTGCCATCTGTTTTAGAAGCAAAAGTAGAGATGCCTGTTTCTCCACTCTCAGGAACATAGATCTTTTTTTCACATTTGTTTGCCTATCCTAATAGAGGGATGTGTCTGAAATGAGCCAATCTGCACATGGGATACTTTACTACAAAACAAAGAGGTCCAATTCTGCCCAAGCCCTAGTTTCCACTTGAAATTCCCGATGTTTTCATTGTTCTTCAGCGAGTGTGAATGGAAACGTCCAAGGCCCCGCATTCCCGTCGTCTCCTTGCCAGGGTCACGCTGGCTGAAGAACTCCTGCCTTCTCCCCGACTTTTTATTTGCCACACTCAACGCTCTGACGATTTTACAGACAAATCAGAAGGAAAAAAAGCCACGGCCACCTGGCTGCAGCCGTGGTCAGTCCTCTCCATTCCAGACAGAATTCTCAGACGCAATGGTGGCCTACGTGGCATTTTATATTTTGCACTTAAATGTTCATTTGCTTCCCAGAGAGCTCCGCAGCCTGGGTGAAGTCATTTTTGATGCTTTCACATTAGATCAAGTTGATGAATCTCCTTACCTAACCCTTCAGTTTAGTTACCCACAATTTTTAATGATTCTGAAAAATACTGTGATGAACATCTTTATAATCTGTATAATTATAGATTCTCCTTGCTTAAAAGTGACACTAGATGATTTATGAGGAAAAAAAAGCATTGACTTACTTAAGGGTATATGTGTGTATCTATCAATTGATCAGTCTGTTAATCTATCCATCTACCTATCCCTTGCCTTTTTTCAACAAAAACTTAAGGTCTTATTTTTAAAAATTCTTATATGAAGTTATGAATATTTTGGGATGAAACTCTGGCCAGTTAATCTCCAACTGCTCACATCCTGAGTTTTTAAAAATGATCAGATGGGATCTGGCAAAATCCACGTCAACTTTAAAGGAAAAAGCATTGTACTTGGGGGATAAAACATTACTTATTGCTATTTTGCTGTCTTGGAATATATACTTTATTGCTGCTGAGATGTAATTCCTCCTAAAAGTGTTTCTGTTGCCCATTAAAAAAACGTCAACAACAACAAAGATTCACAAAAACCACCACAAAACCCTGGTCACCCTGAAAGCGAGATGCGGTGGGAGCACCGGGGCTGGAGCCCAGGGCTCTTCTACATGTGTGCTTTTGCATTGATTAAAAAAAATACCTAACAAACCCCCCTAAAAGCGTGCAGAGCCCTGGCCTGGTGGGCCAAGAACCAGGCCCCAGTCCAGGACGTCCCACGGGACCCTTTCGCGGATGCCCTCTGTTCCCTGGCTCTTCGTTTCTTCTCAGTTAAAATAAGAGAGGTGAAGGGCTGATGAGCTCCGATGCCCCTTCTATAGCTTTACATCTATTTTTAGCAAGACCCCCTTGGCACGTTATTTTAAAATGAAGAGTAAGTGTTCCAAATCCAAGCTGAAGTGTATTGGAACTTCCTCAGCGGAGGCTGCTTAGACTTGGTTGGCATTTTGGTAAGCGGTGTGGTGAGCATTACTTAACTCTGTCGCTGTGTGTAATAGACGTGGGCGGGTGACCAAGCTCAGACACGGATCTAACAAGCGGGCCCGGCCCTGGGAGCCAGGTTGCGGCAGCCTCCTGGCTTCTCCGCAACCACTTACTGACCGCTGCCTCTGCAAACGTGCTGGGCTAGGCGCCCAGAGGCAGCTGGGGCAGAGCAAAGGGCGCAAAAAAGAAATTGCTGCTGCTGGGAAGGGCAGGAAGGGGCAGCCTAGAGCCAAGCATCACAGACAGTTGGGCCCTCACACAGAGGGAGGTGTCACCCCGCTGAAGCCGGAAGAACACCAAGAATGCTCTTATTTGGGGAGGAGACACCCCTGTCCACTTTCTTCATACCAGAAGCATCAGGTGTCCGTAGTACCTGCCCACTGATAACCCACAGGACCCGGGCACACACCTGAAAAACCGCGGCTGGTGTTCCATGTTATTTTCTTGTAAGACCCGCCGCCTGTCTCTCTGTAGCTGTTCAATCCTCTGCTTTTGTATTTCAGCTTCTTCTAACTTCCCCTCTTCTAGAAACCTGAGGCATTGAGGGGAGAAAAGAAAGCAACCCTAATTCCACCAAACTATAACAATCGTTACGCTGGAACTGCGCGTGTTTAAACTGGAGACTCCACACGCTTTCCTACCCATAAGAACCTTCCTCACCCCTTAAAATGGTATTTTGAGGTAGTACAGGAAGATATTATTTTTTGAATTGGTGATATATGTACATGGTTCAAAAAATTAGATCTATAAAAAGTAACTTGGAGTAAAGGCTCCCCCTTATCCTCGTCTCTAATTCTTCCTACTGGCCCCCCCACCTCCCATTTCACCCACCTTCACTCCACCACAGGTAACCCGCTGTTGCTAGTTTCTAGTGCATTCTTCCAGAGATTCTCTAGATGTGTAAAGCAAACATTCATGTATATTCTGACCTCTTCCCTCCCTTTTGGAAATACAAATAGTAGCAGGCTCTACATACTGTCTATGCCTTGGCTCTTTTTCTGTTTCACTTAACAATACAGGTTGGGGCAAAAAAGTAGTTTCATAGTTGTAAGTACACAAAACACAGAGTTTATCTTTATTACTTATTAATTACTGTATTTTCCAAATGAACAGCTGTAACCCTACGGCCGCCCCACCCCGCAGACCCCGGAGCCCTTTCGTGGTAGCTCACAGGCACCTTCGTTTTTTAAAGTGGCATAATGTTCGATTGTGTGGATACACCTGAATTTCTTTTAACTTCCTACTGATAGACGTTTGGGATGCTCCCAATGTTTTAATGCTACAATTAATATGTTGCAAGGAAGGACCATGAGTATCTGTCATTTTGCACATGGGTTAGTGCACCTGTAAGGAGAAATTTCTAGAAGTGAAATTGCTGGGTTAAAGGGTGAGTTTGTAATACATATGCAACCAAACTGCCCTTCGCGAGGATGACAGCAATTCATACTGTGCCAGCCATGTTACCAGAGCGCCTTTCCCCACAACCTCAGAGCACATCACGCCTTTGACTCTTTGACACCCTATAGGGTAAGAAATGGCCTGTCAGTGGGGTTTTAAAAATTCGCATTTGTTTGAGGGAGGTGAAGCATCTTTTCATGTTTAAGGGGTGTCTGCAGTTCTTAGTTCATAAGCTATTCATTTTCTATGTCCATTTTTTTAAGGAGTTGCTCTTAATTTCTAGAGACAATTCATGAAATGAGTTGCAAATACAGACTTCTCAGTTTGTCATTTATCTTTTGACTCTGGGTATATATTTCATTTACTTTGCCATGAAGAAGGGTGTTGTGTATGTGCGTGTTTTTTTAAATAAAGTCAAATTTTACCCTTTTTTCCTCTTCTGGGTGTTTAGTTTTAATTAGAAAGGCCTCAGGGGAGAGATGATTCTTTCCATTTTACAGAGTAAGAAACTGAGGCTGAGAAAGATTAAAAGACATATCATATGTCACACAGCTTATTAAGCAGCAAACAAAGAATCAAAAGATAGATCTCAGTGTACCAAAATAACAAATTCTAGGGGTGGAGGAGGTGTGTGCTTTTTACAATAAGTTTTTTTAATTGAATGCACTAAACTCTGGAAAATAAATGTTTTTTGATATTTCTATAGAAATGGGGCTCTACTGATGAATCCAAGTGATGCCACACACAGGTATAAGCCGGGCTCCGTTTCTTCACATGATTGTTTAAAGCCCTTAGACCTCTATTCCTGATGACATTTTCTACTTTCTCAGGCTCCTCTGGTGGCCTGGGAGTTGTTAATAACAGTTTATATAAAGTTTTACATCTCTGGAGACGAAGATTGAAAAAAAAAAAAAAATCCTTACCTTTGGTCTGGCCTAAATCGAGTGTCAGTAGGTGGTAATAAAGTCTTCAACAATGGATCAATTTCATTTAACTCTAGTGCAAACTGTGTGAAGCCGTAATATTGCTCGTAGCCTTTTGGCATGGGATCTACAAGAAAAAGAGACCATTCACCCCTCACTTGCATTTCATTTACATTATATTTTAATGTCCTCACTCTTTTCATCTCAGACCAGCTACAATTTTTCTCTTTTAGCCTTAAGCTCTTCCATTCCTATTAAAATATTCTGGCTAACAAAGAGGGCTGAATATTTCCCTATACATTTTCTTCTCTGTACATTTTCCTCTGCCTACAAGGATAAGGCCTCCTCTGTGTGGTTACACAGCAAATTTACAAAACGTCATTAAGTTTCTATACTGTTTAAGCTAAAAAAAGTAGTAACTTGTTACTAAAATAAACATGTTAAAAAGAACTCTAAATCCATTTTTCCTAACAAGAATGTCACTCTAGAGAACACCTTTTTCACTTAAGATGTCAAATTCCCCTAAAACTCTCTCCTTTGTCTTCAATAGTGTTGAACCACCAGCACGTGCTCAACAAATGTTATTCTTTCTTCCACACCTGCCCTTCTTTTCACTAACTCTTGCCCTTCCAAATCTTACATATTTTAATTTAAAGCCATCTCAGCAGAGCCAGGAATAAAGATGGATTATACTGGCAGAGACACTGGCAGCTGGACCCAAAGGGGACAGAGAGCACAAGACAGAAGGAAGAAAGGCTGTTGGACTGCTGGCCATTTATAAGATGGGACCATAGAGCTGGCAACCCGGCTGCAAACCTGTCATCCTTCAGGGCCAGGGGAGAATGACTGAAGGTGAGTCAGAGATCACCAGGCTGCCACTCCCATGACAGGCCCGGACGGCAGAGGCCGGGGGCAAGGCTGCCTCCACCTTGCAAAGGCGAGGCCACTGCTGCCGCGCCAACGTGCCAGGAGGCCACCACCCAGGGCCCTGGGGGCTGTGGGGGCAGGCCACCGCCCCAGTGGGCCCGGGCGGTTGGGCATTGAGGCCCAGAGGATTATTCTGGACCCTTAAGATCCAGTAACATTTTTCCTTGTTACCTTTAGCCTTGCTTGGGGCCTGCTGCCCCCTCCCTCTTTCCTGTGTCCCCGTTGTGGGGTGCCTGGCCCGTGCCTGCCCCACCACTGTATTTTGGAAGCACGTTGTGGTCTCATAGGCTCACAGCTCCAGAGGATGAATCACACCTCAAGTCTCACTCCTACCTGATATAGATGATATTTAGGGGACACTTTGGGATTTACAGTTGATGCTGAAATGAGGTGAGACTTTGGGTGGCTGCTGGGATGGGATAAATATATATTATGTGTAAGAAGGACATGAGTTTTGGGGGCCAGGGGCAAAATGTTACGGAATGAGTGTCTGTATCTTCCCAAAATTCGTAGGTTGAAGCCTGACCCGCGTGTGGCTGTGTTTGGAGAGGGGGCTTCTCAGGAAGCAAGAGTGGTTAAATGAGGTCAGAGGGCGGGCCGGCCCCGATCTGGTGGCTGCCTGCAAAGATCCTTCCCTGGAACCCAAATTTTCCAGCACCTCAATCTTTGACTTGCCCACCTCCAGAACTGAAAATAAGTCTGTGCTGTTTAAGCCACCGGTCTGTGGAATTTTGTTATAGCAGCCCAAGCAGATCAGTGCAGGTGTATTTCCCTAACTTGAATTCCAGCTAAAAATCAAGCTAACAACACCCCAATTTACCTTGGGTAAATCAAACATAGGCTAATAAAATCACTCGCAGCCTAAGCTCTAGCCGTTCGCATATACAAATACAAATGTGTTCCATGAACTTTTCTACCAACCATTTTTTGAAGTTTCACAAATGCTCTTTGTCAAATTCTAGGTCTAATTCCCTGTGTATCCTGAGCATGAAATCATATTAAGGCTTCCTGCTGTGCCCTCAGAAATCTATCCCGGTCTCCACCCACTAGACTGAAGACCGTGGTTTTGCTTGGAGATGGGCCAGGATGCTCACGGCCAAGACATAGACAAGAAGTCAGTAAATACAACAGTGACAACAAGAACGACAGCCCATGCAGTGCTCTTGCGTCAAGGTTCTACTGTAACACCCAGAGAGGAAGGCAGCTCTGCTCTGCAATACAGGCTTCAAGCAAAGGAAAGTGCGTGCTTCCCCGCAGGGTCGCACATGCGCCTCTGAGCCTCTGCGGACAGGGAGGCGGCCACTGGGGCCAATTCACGCTGACTTCCTGGCGACCTGGGCAATGGCGGAAGAGGTGGCTGCTGCCCACTGCTGCCTCTTCCACAGTCACCTCCCTTTCTTCCTTGCTAACGAGAAACCGCTCCAGTCCAGTGGCATTATGTCCTCCCTAGGGGATGACTCTAAAGCCATCCAACTCCCTCCTGGCTACCCAGCTGCCCGGGATGGATGCGGGGTGGGCGTGGGTGCGCTTCAGGCTGACGAACTGTAAAGACACGTTTGCTGGGGGATCCGAGGAAACACTGCGCTCCTGAGAAAAGAGGGGCATACGCGAAGGGAGCTCCTCTGTCCTTTCTCCCTGCTCGGTGAGCTGACACGTGGGGATGTGATAGTGAAGCATGACAACGATTTACATCCAGGAGGGAAACATCGCCACCTCATCAGGAGGATGTGCCCTCAGTGACCTGTGCTCCTGACACAGGCAAGCCGCCTCTCGTCAACCCCGGGGCCACCTCCTCCTCCCTGATTATGAAGTATCAGCACACATCCTCATGGGTTACCCCTCTATGAGAATGGTTATCTTTTGTTTTGATCCGTCTAAAGCATCCTAATGGTGGTCTTTCAGGACAATGTTTTTTGAATATGACCATGACTGGGAAACATACTTATTGGATTAGAAGGTAAACTGAAGTCTAAAATGTCCTGGGGACCTGTTATGAAGGTCTGGCTTCCCCTAGTCCTTCTTCCCACAGGTGCCTGGAGGGCTCAGCGTCCTCGTGGAGTGACAGGGGCAATCGGAGTGGCGTGAGGTGCTGCACGAACCAGGGGGATCCCTAACTCTTGTAGTGCCCGCAGGCCACTCTGCTTTCCCGGTAACATTTCCCTCTCTGTCCTGCTCTAGAATGACTTCTCGGTGCCCAGTATAGGCACGGGAGCGAGTGTGCTGAGGGGAAGACAGAGTGACCGTGGATTAGCAACGGCTCCGCTCTGGGATTAAGAACCCAGGACCCCCCGGCCCGGCAGAGGGGCTGTGGATAAGCCTGGGCACGAGTCTGAGAGGTGATGGGGTGAATGGAAGAAGGACGAAGGCCCACGCACAGCGTGGAGCCGGCAGGAGACGCCGATGCGCACTGATGCCCCCTCCCCCGGGGCCGCTCCCCGATACTAACTCGCTCTCCAGATACAGGAGGAAGAGGAAGCGCCGCCGCAGTAGATGCTTTCGTGCCACTTCCCGAAGAGCCGACGCACGGCTTTTCCACTCTTGTCAAACACCGTACCTTCAATCTCACAGGCGTTCGTGCTCCAGTACTTCGCCTAGGATTCAAATGGGGGTCATCTGTTTAGTATTTTGGGGTCAATTTATTACAGATATTAAGAAGGGGGGAAAAAAAGAGGAAAAACAAAAGAACCATAATGATAATTCTACATTGTATATAGTTTGCCAGTTTTGGATTCTATCATTTATTACACATGTAATTACGTAATAAAAACTAAGAGCTAACCCTTTGTTTACAGTTTGCAACTCAATGAACCAACATTTGATACATTTTTTTTCTGGGTGTGTAAGATACATTTTCTTTTACTTTTTCTACATGCAAGGTAACAAGGGGAAGCTCAGTTCTTCTGCATCAGCCACAGAGCGCAGCTGGCCCGCAAGCCCCCTCCCCTGGAACAGTGGTTCCCTGGGTCTCACTGTGGCCCTGATTCTTGCAAGTGAAAAGAAATGGACCCCATGTAATTGTTTTTTCTCTAAAGGAACAAGACAGTCTTTTGTAAACCATGCAGCTGCTTTGTAAACCAACAAATGTTCAGTTTCTTCTATCGCTTCCCCCCGCCCAAATCTAGCCCTGCTCATCCAACCCACAGGACCCTTAGGCAACCCATGTCACAGGGTGCTTGGCCGCGGTCTGAGACCAGCTCAGCTCAGCCCAGCCCAGCCCAGGAGGTTTTATGCAGTACTACAAGATGCCCAGCAGAGGGAGCTCCAACTTCCTAGAATTGATTTATTAACAAAACATCTTCGAATTACATGGTTGCCCTAAAAAAGTCTCCATGAGAAAAAAGGTAAGGCATTATTCCACAAATCAAAAATCCTATTACTATTTTCAGCCAAAACAGATTCCATATTTGGAAACCAATAAAGCCGTGTGGCATTCTCAGGCCACATTCTGATGGGTTGGCTTCCCCATCTCAAGTCTGCGGTAAACATCTCGACCTGAATCAGGAATTTAAAAGTGAGTTCTTACGTCATGTAAAAATGAGGGGAAAAAATAGAAACACTACCCAAGCTCTTCAGTTTATTCTAAAGCAGGCACCAGGTTTTCTCTTACAGCTATTCGCCAACACATCCGGGGCTGGCGAGAGCAAGTGGACTCCGAGGGAGGCAGCCCTGTGCCACCGGCCACCGGCATCTGCTTTCCGATTCTCATTTACCACGAGGCGCATGGCCGCGTTCGAACTCTTTTCATAGCTCGCGGCTACAAAAATCTCCGCTCTGGTCGGAAGTGGACAAGTTCCAGGTGGATGGCAGACGGGGGAGCGGAGCACATTTCCTCCCAGGAAATGCTGAGTGGGTGGCTCACCCGGAGGACGAGCGCCCCGATTCCTGCTCCAGGCTGCCTCGTGCCCTTTTCTGCCGAGAGCTTAGCTGACGCTTTCAAGGCAGGGTCATTTTTATTTTACGCTGAATCGTCACTAGCTTTATATCTGACTACAACCCAGTGTGACTTGCAGGGTATACGACAGACCTCAGGCCACCTCTCCATAATGCCCCCCACCAGCCACAGGTGGAACAGAGGGCACCCCAAGAAATTCCACAATGAGAACCTGATACCGCGGCTGAGAGTTTCATCTTAATTCAGTGCAAATATTTTTGAAGGGGATAACACTTTACGGCCCTTTTTAAGTACTCAAGATTTTTAACAGCAGGAGGGCATCCGGGAGGAAGAGGGGTGCAGGAGGGCTGCCCCCTGAGGCAGGCGAGGGCTACACTGATTACTCCACACTTTTGCCTCAAGCCAGTCTGTTCATCCTCCGTGAGCCTCTGCTGGGCGCCAGGCACCCTCTCCAGGCCTCAGGCTGCAGCCCCGAGCAAGGCAGGCCAGGCCTCTGCTTCCCCGGGGCCCGGAATGGCAGGGAGGACGTGGGGAACGGAAGATGAACCAGCAAGCCCAGCGGGAGCGAGCTGGCGCCAGACCCTAACAACGCCTTTGGAGAGAAGGGGAGATGAGAGTGGCTAACAAGACGGGGCAGGCGGTGGAAGGTCTGAGGACAGGGAGGCAGGACGGGACACTGCGGTTGGAGAGGCGTGAGGGAGGCCGTGTGTGTACTGAGCTGGAAGGGTGGGTGGGGAGTGCAGACTGTGTGGGGTCTTATGGGCCCCGTAAGACTGTGGGAAAGATGGAAGTTGTCAGCGGGTTTGGTCAAACGTGATACAACTTGCTTTTTAAAAAAGTTGTGGTAAAACATACATAACAAAACTTACCATTTCAACCATTTATAAGTGTACAGTTCAGTGGTATTAAGTACATCAAAAAGGCTGAGCAACCTTGCCTTGTACCTCTCCAGTTCTTCATGTCCTTGAACTGAAGCTCTGTGCGCATTAAACACTAATTCCCCATTCCCTGTCCCCCACCCCTGGCCACCCCCGTTCTACTTCCTGTCGCTATGACTCTGACCGATCTGGGTACGTCATGTGAATGGAATCACACAGTGTGTGTCCTTTCGTGTCTGGCTTATTTCACTCAGCATATTGTCTTCAAGGTTCATCCATATTGTAGCATGATGACTTCCGTTTTAAAAGGCTCCGTCTGGCTGCTGCATTGAGGACAGACCAGAGGGAAGGAAGGGTGAAGGAAGGAGGCCAGGGGGAGACATGGCCCCGTCCAGGTGACAGAGTGGGGCGGGGACCAGGAAACCCCTAGCATTGCTGACCTGCCGGCACCGAAGCAAAGATGAAATTTCCCCCAAGGTACGCGGTGCCCTGAGGCCTTCCCAGGGCTAGAGCTGCAAGGGTCACCAGCTCACCTTTGTAAAATTCACTTTGCAGTGGCAGGAATCATTATTCCGGTTCTTGATGACAATCTCTCCATAGTGCTCGATCCACCTCTGCCCGCTCAAGATGTTATGGATGCAAGAGGTGACTTTGTTCCATTCAAAGTGATCTCCGAAACTAAGGGAGGAAAAGGCGAGAGGAACAGTTCTCAGCAGAGCCAGCAGTGAATGCCAACAAGCGCTAAGTCGTGTCGTGAGTTACTCATTCCTGCACCCAGGGAGCCAGCGCTGAGGGACACGCTCGGCCTCGCAGGGCGGCCCGAGCTCTCACTCGCCAGGGAGGCGTGCGCGCTGCGGAGCTGACAGCAGTCAGACCCGGGTGCTCTGGGAGCTGCCGGAGGCTTCTCCACAGCTGGGGGTCTCCAGGGACAACCCACTCCCTCTGACACAGGGGGAACTGGGAGCCAGAGATGACTTGTCTAACGTCCCCAAACTAGGAAGGGGAAGTGGCAATGGGGGAAGGCACTTAAAATCTCCTCTCTCCCCCCACACATGCATGCTCACGCACATACATACAGGTACACATATATTTATGTGTGTAAAGATATACACATATATCTTATATATGAATATTAAGATACATATATCTTAAATCTTTTACAATGAGAAAGTACTCAGATACTACTCAGAGATAAATAATAGTTATGAGGATAGGGTAGTAAGACCAAACACTTACATGGCACATACCATGTGCCAAGTACTATTTTACGTGCTTTGCGTATATTATCTGTTTAATCTTCACAACAGCCCCATGAAGTAGATGGCTGGTTACCCCCGTTTCAGAGATGACAGCACTGGAGGTCGGAAAGGTTAAGTAACCTCCCAAGGGTTTGCACTCAATAAGTAGCAGAACGAGAGCACACGGGTCCCAGTAGCCTGGTTCCAGAGGCTGCGTTTGGTTTTATGAACATCAACAATCACTGAAAGCTCAAAGCCGTATCTTCCTTGGAAGAAATTTTGACAGGGAGGCAGGACTACAATGTTAAAGAAAAACCACCGTTCTTAATTTTGTTAGAGAGTAGAAGAGTTTTTAGAAAGCGTCTTTTCAGGGAATTTTGGTCTCCAAGAAGCATTTTCATTTGAGGGAAATAAAATGTGAGCTTGGCACAATGAGGAACGTTTGAACTTACTGTCAAACAGATTAAGAAAAAAAAAAACCGCTCTGCGCCTTGGGGAAACCATGGCAGCCTGTTCCTAAAGCTGTCACCCTGGCCCTAAATCCCATACAGTTCCCAACCACAGAAGCACTTACGCGGGCAGAGTCACGTGGGTTGTGCCAATGGGAACAATTTCCAGGGATTTGCCCCAGAATTTGTTTTTCCATCTCATGTCTGAAATGAAATAAAACCAAATATAATATATTTAGCAGGAGAGCTAGGGAGATAAAAAGAGTTCTTAGGCTACAGAAATGATCAGTTACGATATAGGACAATCTTCATAATAAAACCCACCCTCTTTTAGGATGACTTGGTAGAAGATTAAATGCCTCGCTTGGGAGAGCTCGCAGGCTATAACTGAGTAGGTGGTAAGGCGAAACGGCACCCAGGAAGAAGGGATGACCCACACGCAGGAGGTCAACCAGGCAGAGGGGAAGCAATGGAAGGCAGAAGATACAGCTTGTTCAAGGGGAGGGCACGTGATGTGGTTTGGTCCTATTGGTCTCAAACTGTCGGGAGGGAAGAGGGGACAGATTGGGTACCAACAAAGTGGGCTCCACAGCCTGGCGAAGAAGTCCCGTTTGTGTGCCTTGGGGGGAAATAAGGCATTTGTTTGGACAGAGAACTGACTTTGCAAAGGCAATTGGCAGCAACATGGAGAAGGAAATAGGAGCAGGAGGGATGAGGAGCAGGCGACAAGTTCCAAGGCTACGGTAGCTGCTCAAGGGATAAACAAGGACGAAGTGAACCAAGGCAGCAGTGCCAGGGGTAGGGTGGAAGGGAACGATCCCAGAACCATCAAGGAAGTAGAAATAGAACTGGTGGCAGATTAGATGCTGAGTGTGAGTGGCAGGGAGCACTGGTGGACGATTTCAGATTTCTTACATTTGCGTCAATGGTGGTGCCAACAGGGAGACCGGGAATAGAAAAACAAAGGCAGCGGCCGCTGGTCCCTCTGGCGGCTGCATGACCCTTCGGGCCACAGGAGAGTCCAGGGGGCAGCAGGGAGGCCAGCAGGGGCCATGGCCATGAGCCAGGGTAGAGGAGGGGCAGCCAGGACGACCCTGGCTGTTTGTTACATGATTTCATTTATATGAAATAGCCGGAATAGGCAAATCTCCAGAGAATGGGCTAGCGGTTGTCGAAGGATGAGAGAGGCTCATGGAAATTGGAAGTGGGGGCGGGGGGGCGGCTATTTGCGAAGCAGGTTTCCTTTGGGACTAAGGAAAATGTTGTAAAATTGATTGCGGTGCCGATTGTACAACCCTGTGAATATACTAAAAACCATCGACTATCTCGAAAAAGTTGCCCCAAGAACAAGATTGGCCATTTAAAGCAAAAACAGTAGCAATGCATTGCAGGGTTTAGAATATATAAGAATAAAATGTACGTCCACAATAGCACAAAGGTTGGGAGAGGAGAAGTGGAGGTATATTTTGTAAGTTTCTAATAGTGCAGGTGGAGCGGCAGGCTACTTGCAGACAGACAGTGATACATTAAAGATACATAATATGAATCCTAAAGTAACAAGTTAATTTTAGAAGTAAAATTTAAAAATTTTAAAAGCAAAAACCCCTCTGCTATCTGGACTCTGACAAATAGCTAAATATTTTGTGTCTCTTCAAATGTGAGGTATTTCAAGTGTCTACAGAACAAAAGAGAGACAAAGGTACAGGAAGAGAAGGTGGTGGCCACAAGATTGAGAATTTTTTAATGAGGGAGCAACCAACTTATCCTCCTGACTCCTCCGCTATGAAGCAGGCAAACATCAGTTATTGTTCAGAGATAGATGACAGGCAAGAACATGAGCGGATCCTTCCAGAGAGCCCAAGTCCAGGGCCCACTTCTAATTTTAACACACAGTTAACAGCGGCTCCTTAATAACATAAATCAATAACATCACAAAAAACAATGGGGGTCAAATATGTTAGCACAGTACCTTGCCAGAAAACAAAATTTCCCGACTCCGCGTGACATGCCGAGATAGGTGGATGGTGGCTGACCTGACGGAAACAGAGGCCAAAAACACAAAAAGTTATTTGCTGCTGTGTCCCATGCAGTCCCTTCCTCCTCCTTTGCGCTGAGGTGTAAACAATGCTCCGTGTCTCCATGAATGAACGCCTTTCCGTTTTCTTTCAGCAAGTCCGTCCTTAAGAGGGTGCCCCTTGTGTGGTCATCTTTGATTTGCTCAAGTTTGTTAGGGACGAGGAGAAACTGGGTGAATGGAAGTCTCTGGAAACTTCAGAGAAGCATCCAGGTGGTGAGTGATGAGGGTAGAGACACGTTTGGAGAGATGTGCAAATAAAATCAGGGACACACAAGGCTCGCCTGCTCATAAACCCTGTAATCTGACGTTGTCTACCAATGTCAAAATCCCTATCAGCTGTTCTGAAAATACTTGGCATTTCATTGAATTGTCAAATCATAAATATTTTTAAATGATACTTCTAAGCAACACAAAAGCTCTCTTTGCTGGGTGGTGGGTGGTGGAGGGATTGAGCAGAAAAGAAAAGGGAAAGAACTCATGGACACAGACAATAGTGTGGTGATGGCTGGGAGGGGGGGAAGGCGGCGGAGGGTATGAGGGAGGTAAATGGCGGTTGAAGGAACTCGACTCGGGGAGGCGCGCACACAACACAGTGCACAGACGGCGTGTTGTAGAATCGTGTGCCTGAAACCTGTATGATTTTGTTAACTCGTGTGACCCCAATAAATTCAATAAAAAGAAAACGCTTTGGCTCAGAAGATGTCACTCTTTTGAAAAGTCCACAAGTCCAACCTCTTTGTGCATGACCTGCAGGAAGACTGATTCAAGATAATCTTTAAAAAAGAATAATGTTTCTACAAAGAGCCAAACAATTTTATTGAAGAAAATTAGTCAACTGCTAAAAAAAATATTTATTCATTTTCTGTCAAGGTAGAAATACACAGCCTGAGGAAATATGCAAGAACCTTGTAGGAAGGAGAATCCCCTGCAGCAGAGACTGTAGCACATCCCCTGCCTTTTGTCGCGGGAGCCATTACTGCCATTGCTTCTGTTTGATTCACCAATGACGGCGCTAATGAGAAGACGGTGCCCCAGTACCTCGAGGTGCACGACTGGTACATGTACGGTTATTATAATCCAGCATCAGTGAAACCAGAGTCACGGTGCCAGCCGTGTTTCCAGAAATTTCTGTTAGTTGGTTCGTAGCCAAGTATGTTACAATGAGAACATTCAGCCCAAAGACTTCATATTACAGATGAGGAGACAGAAACTAGAAAGGTTAAGTAAGGGTTCCCCCACACACCAACAGGGAAGGAGTAAAGGTAAAGCCCAGCATGTTTGGGTCACAGCATGGTGTTGGGGGAGAGAGAGAACAGAGCCTCAAATCCACTCAGCTCTGGACCCTTAACTGCAACGAGGACCCTGGTCTGAAAACCACTTCTGGGCGACACCCCTCTAGGTAGAGAAGGGCAGGGACAAGATAACCTAGACCTGCCTCAGTGCTGAGTTTCTATTCATGCTGACCCCAGAGGTGACCCAGAGAGGCATCTGACTCTTGGCTGGAGTCTGAGCTGGCTCTCCCATGGGGCAGACACGCGCTGCGAGCCTATGGCACAATTCCAGGCTAGACTGGTTTTCTAGCATCCCTCTCCCTCTCAATCAAATCAGAGCAATTTCTGAGTGGTGAGGATCCCCAAACATTCAGGAAATCAGCGTATATGGTTTTTAGAGGCACGCTTCTTTCTACAAGCTTGACGTTAATGAGTTCCTCTGCTGGTGAAGAATTCTTGTAATTTATTTATACATTTGAAATCTTTCTTCACTCTGACCTCATCATTTTTGATTTATGCTTTGAATGTACCAAAAGGAGAAGCAGAGGGGAAAACAGTGTATTTCAATATTTGTGTATTTTGCAAGTTTTTGTTTTGTTATTTATAAAAAAAAAAAATCTCTTAACTACATCAATTCTGCAGCTGTCCAGAGACGTAACTACAAGCCCTCCTAGTCCCTGACTCACCCCCATCCTCGAAGGGCAGCTGTGGAAAGAGAACAAGGGCCAGGTGAAAAGGAACCAACCACGCAGGGAGGGGACCCCGTGGCCAGCCTCCGCATGGCACTGATCAGGCATGACTGACCGCCACGAGGTGTCGGGTACTGTCCTAGTCAGTGGGAACGCAACGAGAAACAGAAGAAACAAAAGCCTTCACCCTTGTGGAGTTGACGTTTTAGTGCAGAAGCGGGTGAGGCAGAGAACAAACAAATAAGTATGTAATCTGTCGGTAGTGACAGTGTTAAGAATAAATCAGCCGTAAGGATGGGGGCCGGGGGTTAGTGGCAGTGCTGCTCCCGACAGAGCTGGGGCAGGACTCGCGATGATGGAAAGCTCCGAGGAGAAGAGAGATAAGGACGCTAACCACGCAGAGAGCTGGGAGAAGGGTGTCCCAGGTGGAAGACACAGCCGCTGCCCAGGGCTGGCCAATGCTGGGTGCATGTTAGGAGGAGCAGAAAGGTGGCATGGCTGAGGCTGAACGAGTGAGAGCGGGAGGCAGCATGTTATCCGGGTGCGGCACCTTGGCGGGCTTTGTGGGCCACGGCCAGGACTTTCGCTTTTCTTCCAAGTGACATGGGAAGTCATTGGAGAGTTTGGAGAACAGGAGGCTCCTGCTTGAAGCAACCGCTCTGGCTGCGGGTGAGGAACTTGCTAGGGAAACAAGAGCCCAGACAGCGAGTCTGTTGCAATAATCCCAGTTGCTGAGTATGACCGCGTGGGCACAGCGGCCACCACCAGCAGGAGGCAGAGAAAACTGCTGGCTTTGGGAGGAGCACCTACACAACGGCCCCGGATTTGCCGATGGGTAGGATGGGGTTACACGAGAATGAGCTATTAAGAATGATGTCCAAGTTACTGTCTTCCTCTAGGGGGGGAAGTGCAGTTGCCAATTATTTTCTCCTCCCCTGTGTTCAGAGTTAATCTCTTATTTGAGATACACATGGGTTCTTGCCAAAACAAAAGCAAAAGCAAAAAACAGAGAACAAAAACACAGTAAGTGATGACTTGACCTAGAAATGGAGAGGTGCTGGTTTAGTCACCTTATATTTAATTTACTGCTAGTTTTATTTGAACAGCTTGAATTTCCCCTCTGACACTGTCTTTAAATAAGATGTCACTGTGACCAGTAGAAAATACCTCTGGCTTCCAGTAGATAAAAGAACTATTCAGAGATGCGATGGGAGGGTGCAAGGAGAGAAGTGATAGGCATGGTTATTTATAGTCTGTCCAAGAATTTTTGTTCAAGTTCTCCTGATGAGTCACAGGAAAGGAAGAACGGCTGAGCCCGCGGAGCAAAGGAAAAAAACACTTCATTTGAATTTCTTCCATTTCAGTAACTTTCAGTAACTCCATTCAGCATTTCTGACACAAACTCTCGAGAGTACGTGGCGGGGTGGGTAAATGGTTAAGGTGACTGGAACAGAGGGACCTGACAGCTGAAGTATCTTTCAGGTAATTAGGAAAAGCCACTTTTAGGTAACAGCTTAATTGCACATCCTAAATGTAGACAGCAAGCCTTTCCCAAAGGTACGCAGAGAAGCAAAGGTAACTGCAATGAGCCCTCCAGTCACAGGTGAAGCTCAAAACTCAGGTCGCTCTATGCCAGGCAGCAGGAGTCTCAGTCCCTGAGGAGAGAGGGAAGTCCTTTCTTCCTGAATTCCCCTTTTCTGGGCTTAGTTAGAAAGCCAAGGCTGAATCAGATTTCTTGGCCCAAAGGAAGCTCCTTCCCCGAGACGGCGGAACAGATGACAGGAATGTTTATACTTTACTTCTGGGAAGTACCCCATCCACAAAGGCCACCCGCCAGCCCACAATAGGAGCTGAGAACAAAGTCCTACCATGAGCCTGGAGGATGAAAGGTTTAAGTGGCAAAGACAGACAAAATCCTGTAGTCTGAACAGTACACAAAAGGCTATTTTCACATGGGCAGCTGGTAAATTCAGCAGCTCTAAGCACAGCAACTAAACCTACACAAGAGACCCCCAAAGAAGGTGACAGGGAAGGGACAGGGGAGAGGAAACCAAGGCGTGTTAGCTGAGGGGGACTGGAAGGCGCTACTGCCATTGGCCTCAGTGTCCTGGCCTGGGATTGACTCTCTCCTCACCTGCCACACAGGGGGTATTTTGAAGATGAAATAAGATCCTGTACAAGCTTGAAAAGCATAAAGTACTCGGCACACCCAGTACTTAATTGCTATGAGGGAAATTTAAACGGCAAACGTTTTTTCTAGTTTCTGACTACACGAGTAATTTTGTCATTGCATTTTTGGGTCTTTTAGGTGAGAAACATCACAGGTCGATGTGGCTGAGCTCTGGGAAGTAGCACTTACTTCAGCCTCCCTGACCGCTGACCACTTTGAACACCCACGTGCCCACCGAAACCATGACGTGACAAAACCCAGGGCTTGGAAGAAAGGCACAGATGTCCCTTTTCAAATGATGTCCAGAAAACAGGGTAGAAAAGCCACATTACTCTTGATACTTTCCATCTCCTTTCACTTGGAGATACGATTTCCAACAATGCTCTTGTTAGAATAAAATTCCACCCCAAAAAAGTTAATTTGGGGGTCCCTTCCCTGCTTATTATGGTAGTCATTCGGTGACTTCTACTCATTGCAGGGGTACAAGAAGGCAAGGAAGCCCCCAAGCTCTGAAAGCCGAAGTGCATCCCCTGCACACAGTGGGAGAGGGCAGAACTGTGCCGTTTCCAAGAAGGTTCGATGTCTCTGGGCCAGAAGCAGAGAGCGCCACGTGGGACAGAATAGACTCGCCAGGGGCGGTAAGTTAGATGGTCTTCACGCCATCAGGTCGGCATGAGCAAGGGTGGGCGAGGGAGGTGGAGACCGAATTGACGTGCCTCCTGCCGGCCAGGAAAAGGAAAGCGCTGGCCAAAACTCTTCCCACTCCTGGGAATTGCACAGCCACCTCTCTTTCTCACCGCGCTCACCTCATGATTACAATTTCAGCTTCCCAAGTAGCCTGCCTCTGGGGAAAGGATGCCTGGCCGTGCCGACAAAGCCTTCTGGTCCCTCGGCAGGTCTATTTTTCATAGTAAATGCATGTAGCAGCCCTGTAGTTTATGTATCGGTCTCTCGTAACCTTGGCGTGGCGCTGTCTCTGAGAGGCTCATCCATTCTCAGGTGTATTAAAAGAACTAACTATCTAAGGACCCGAGGCTATATTCCAGACACAGGAGGCAGCTCCACCAGGATCAGGACGGTGGTGTCACCCCAGGGAAGCCCTCTGTGAAGGCTCCGGGCTGTTCCATGCTGGCTTTCAGTCAGAGACACACCAGTGACTTTATGCCCCCTTCAAAGCACCGGAATGAGTAGGGTGGATATAGTATGTTTTATTCCAACACTCCTCTTACTATTCCTAACACTGTATATTTAAAAGATTTTAAAAGTTGCTTCTAAATGTAAGAGCAGTAACCATGTGCTGAATGTTTACTATCCTCAGTGCAACAATATTCTATACCGCAGTGTATTACGATTTCACTTAAGCCTTCCTGCTCCCCATGAGTTAGCATGACCACTCCTATTTTATAAAGAAACGACTGAGCCCTGGCTGGTGGGGCTCAGTGGACTGAGCGCCGGCCTGCGGAACCAGAGGCGCCACTTTGCTTCCCAATCAGGGCACCGGCCTAGGTTGTGGGCCAGGTCCCCAGTGCGGGGCACATGAGAGGCAACAACACACTGATGTTTCTCTCCCTCTTTTTCTCCATTTCTCTAAAAATAAATAAAATCTTTTTAAAAAAAGAAAGGAAAGAAAGAGAAAGAAAGAAAGAAAGAAACAAACAAACAAAGAAAAGAAAAGAAAAGAAAAGAAGGAAAGAAACCACTAAGGCTCAGGAAATCTAAGTTGCGAGGCCACGCATAGACTAGGAAGTGGAGTTAGGATTGGAAAGCAGGCCTACACGATACCCAGCACACCCTACATGACTAACGATGCCCAGATCTCCTTCCTGCGTATTTCCTTGGGATTCATTTCATGGAACTGAAAACTAGGTTATGTAATGCTCTTTCCATCTCTGTGCACGTGGGCCCGGGGGTTCTGCTTTCTCTCCGTGCCAGTACAAGAGACGCACAGGCAGACCTTGAACTTGGCCCTGCCCTGTCAGGAGCTCACAGGGCTGAAGCTGCGCTTTAGACCAGCTCACATTACTACTGTTTCTTGTACTCACTCATCTTATCCTGACTGTCGGCTGTAGTTTGGGGCTATTTTTGGCCTTTGTTTCTTCACAAAGTGAAGTGCATATAATGCCATGGTAACCAAATTATATTTGCATTCCATTTTAGGTTAAGTATTTAAATAACCCACACGAATTTGAATCAGGTTATCTTATTTCTTTAAGTACTGATTTAACCCCTTGCCTCCCCAACATCAGCGTTTAATTTCTCATTTTGGCTCCTAGCTGGAAAGGCACTGACTGTGTGCTCTGGGGTTACTGAGGTTCATTCTCCTTTGGGTTTCAGAGAGCACTGCCTGTAGCTCCCAGGTAAGACAAGCACTGACTTCATGAGCCTCCAGCCACCCCCCTTCCCACCCACCCCCCAAATGCACACCCACTGATATCGAGGGTAGCACAATGACAGGAAGGAAAATAACATTTTAGAAAACCCCACCCCCTTTTCCCTCAGTTTTCTAAGAATTGGCAGGAGAGAAATGTATCAAACCAATTGTATTTAACGTTCCTAGGATGACATTTAGGGACATGCGGCGGGTGAGCATGTTCAGTCACTGTCTTAATCAGGGAAGAGTGAACTGTTTTCTACTTTTATCTTCAGTATCTTTGTACCCATTTTTTGCTAAACAATTCTTATGGCAGGCATTTTGGATGTTGCCAATATCACAGTGTTACAAACCACGCCATTAAGCATCAGAAATGAGGGCAAACATTCACATCACAAACACTTTGTCCTTCACGTGGCCAGCCCTGGTCTCAGTGCTCTGGAGAGCGTACCCCATTTAGCCCTCACCTGAGGCCTGCACCATTATCATCACCTCCACGTCAAAGGGGGGACTGAAGCCCAGGGAGGTTAAGCGGCTTGCCCCAGGTTATACACCGAGGGAAGAGGCAGAGCCGGAATTTGAACCTAGGCTGCCCGGATCCCGACATACTGTTCTTGAATAGCATTCTCTGCTCATTCCGAGGTGGGAAGAGTCCTGTGGAAGCCTAGGGAACTCAGGTCGCGTAAGTGTGAAGTGTGCCTGTCCTTTAGATGAGGACAGGCATCCGCGGCCCCCACCCCCTGCCTTCTCCCAGCAGCTGGAGCAATGCCGGGCACATGGTGCGTGCTCGAGAAATATTTACGGACTGAATAAATACATGAGTGTATTCTTAAAATCACGAATAATGCATTTATCTGGTGCTACCCATCCTGGCAGGGGCACTCGGGCTCTAGAATGGTGGCATCAGAGAATGAGGGTGAGCATTTTAAACCTCTAAATGGCAGTTTGGACACATGTTTCTTTGAAATTTTCTCTCACTGTGACTTGGAACAGGAAGGCCTTGTCAATGCCTATGGCCAACTGACAGAGCTCACATTGCCAGTACTCTTTGTGCCCAGGAGTGATGGCTAGGTTTCCATGGAAGGGAACGTGACCCTTCTCTTTGTGTGTAAAAGCGCTGTAATTATCTCGGTTGCTTTGAAACTCACAAAAGGTGGAAAATAAATATTTCAAAAGCACATGTAATGGGAGGCATAATCAATTCCTTCATGTAAGTGGACAAAGGGTGTATACACAAACAAAAAGGGTGTATATCCACCTGTTCTGAAAAAAACTGGAAGCCCTTGTCCTCTCGAACACACTCGTACGTTTCTCCAAGAACCGGGTTGAAGGGTTTGCTCCCAGCTCGGAAGTAGCTGGACGCGTAGGCCGACACGGCGAAGGCTGCCACATACACCTACGGAGGGGGAGGAAGGAGCGTTGTTATTTCTCTGTAACTGTGGTTTCTTCCAGAAAGCCAAAGATTTGTCTCGGGTTGCAAGACAACCAAACCAACTTTGGTTTCAAGTTGCAGGCTTAAGGAATGTTTGTTGTGGCCTCGGAGACAAATGAGCCGAACATTTTCAAACCGCCCGTTTGTCCTGAGGCCTCAAAGCTGGCAGCAGCTTTCGAGAGGATGCTCTTTACCACGTGAACTGCACGGTTTGGGGGCTGTTCAGCTGAGTGCAGTACCTCTAAACCTGACGATATCTGAGAATCCTGATACCATGCGGAGGTTTTTGGGGAGGAGGAGGAGGAGGAAGAGCATTAAAAAAGCCAAACTTCCCTCACAATTCAGGAATAAGCATCCTAAGTTTAACTATTCCCAATTAGGTGCTGTAGAAATCTCAAAATTGATTTTGATGAAAGAAGATCTGTGAGAGTCATTTCCTAAGCCCAAGCGACAAGCCACAGGACAGAGCACGGTGCTTTGTAAAAAGTTCTGCTTTAGGGGGAGGAAAAAAGGGAAACTCAAAAAGGAAAATTATGGGCGAACATGAAACAAGCAAGACCCTTTAATGGCCCTCACTGTGAGGCTCTTGGCATTTGCATCAGATCCCCTTTCAGGGTACCAAGACCTCGCATTGTTATTTTTGTCTTTTGCCAGGGGGTGGCGGGAGGGAAGGGAAGGGGACAGCCAAAAAATTAAACCTAAGTAACAATAGCAGCTTTCCCTTTATAATATTACGTAGCAATTGCCACATTTCCTCTTCCCAACACACTTCACGAAGTTTCTTATCTCGGAAAAAAAGTCGAATGCCCTTTGTAAATGTTCACTAGTCGCAAAACTTTCCTCAGTCTTTTGCAAATGGGATCCACTTTCCCATCTCACACTAGAGAACACTCTAGAGCAGCTGGGTAGTTTATAAAAACCAATTCACTAAGCTCAATTCAGTCTTTGTTCTTGAAACCTGGGTATCTGTTCTTCTCTCTGCTCCCCCAGATGTTTGTTCCCTGTTTGACAGTGAGGCCACGCTGTCTATACTGAATGCTGAACCAACCCTGAATCGCCTTCACGGTCTAAAATATAACAAAATGTGTAAATGAACCTGGTGTCCTCATAATGCTGGGGGAGATGGGAGGCAGGGAGCAGGCACAATGCAGGCTGCTCCTTTTGGGCTGGAGCAGGAGAGAGAACCCACCAACAGAGGGGTAAACTCAACCCCAGGATTCCAAGGCTCCTGCTCAGCGCTTTCTTGCGCTTTCCCTCTGGATGCATTGGGCTGGAATGCACAGCTTTTCTTCAAGCTTCTTCTCAAGGTGAACTACACCAATCAATCCGCTGAACAACCTGAGGGTTTCTAACCACAAGCAGAAAACACCTTTAAGAATACTTTCATCTTCAAAGTCAATTGTTTCCTTCAAAGATGCTGACTTTTAACACTTGCCTTGGAAGCTATTTGCTTCCCTTTGTTCCGCAGAAATTCTCTGGGGAAGAGCAACAAAGACTGAAAAGATAAAGTGATTGTTTCTCTCTCCTGCTCTCATTCCCATTTGATGGGAGAAGTCCCTGGAGACTGATGGATGACCATGGGCTGTCTCCCTGCTCCCATTAGAGTTTCCCTTACTCATCAAACCACTTAAGTGATGACGTTTTTATTAAGGTTGAAATGGCAGAACGCTTAGAATTTAGAAAAGAATTGTGTCCTCTTTCAGTTAGAGGGTGACTTCAGGACCTGAAGCCAAGGGGCGTGCCAACCCCAATTTAGATGATCAGCAAATGCCCAGGACAGAAGCTGTTGGAGGAAGACGTGGTAATCCCAGCCTCCCACACAATGAATGACCTTACTGTTGAGCAGGTAACATGTGAGGAAGCAAAAAGAGGAAGAGAAATTCTTGAAGAACAAAGTCAGCCGCAGTCACAGAAAGGACTGAGTGTTCCATAGTCTTATTACTGTGGAGCCCCCCCAGGATGGGGAAGGGTGAGAAACCCTGGAAGCCCCTTCACTGGAAGCGCTGAGTAGAGAACAGAAGGTGAATTTTCCTAGGATGAGCTAAAAAAAAAAAACCAAAACAAAAAACACCCAAAACAAAACAAACACCCAAGTCTATAGAATCAGAAGGGATGGGGGAAGAAGATTGTTTCTTATGTGAAAATCTTTTCTGTGAGTGTTATTTTCTGCAAATCTAGGAGCTGATTGGACAATTCCAAAAATAAACAAAAACATCCTCATGGGAAATTTACCCTGGATGAGAAAAACAGCTTGAGAAATTAAATTCTGTCCACCCCGGATAGTAAAATAAATACCCAGACAGCCTCAAGATGGATGTGTTTTCCAGCCAGGCTTATCAGAGCAATCACATGGAAGGTTCTGGAGAAAGAAGCAGCACAAATCCACAGAGCAGAACTACCCCCAGGCACCAGCTGTCACCAAGAGGCGCCTCTCTCCTCTGCCACATGGCAAGTCCTCATGGGATGCCTGAAAACAGCCAGGAAGAGGGGAACCAGATGCCACTGAGAAATGAACCTATCAAAAGGACGATCCTAAGGAACACCGGAGGGGACTGGGGCTCTGGCTCGGCCCGTGTTGACCCGGCCTGGCATGAGTGGGGCGCAGGCGCAGAGCCGGACAAGGCGGTCGGCAGGCGGGGCCTCACCATCCTCTCCAGGGCGTCGGGAGCCTGCGCGGCCTTGTCCAGGAGCTCGCTGTACTCCAGCTCCTCGCAGAGCCTCTGCAGCGTGTTCAGTGGCTCATTCAGCTCCACCGGCATGGCCACTTTGGACAGGTCCTTCCCTATGTTATTTCTCAGAATGTTCCACAAGCTGATGTTGCTGGTGTTGGGGCAGGGCGCCGGCAAGCAAGTTCTTCTTTTGGACTTGGCTTCCCCACCACTTTCAAGAACCAGCCCTGAAAGGGAAGTAAGCCTGGTGATCTTAGAAGTTTTTTCACTTTATTATTTAAAGAAAAATCTATGAATAAAACCTCACCTAAAATGTACTCCATTTTACTGTTAATCTCAATTACTCAGAGTATGATGGAAAGTCATAAGATAAAAAGAATTCTGCACAACTAAATTAAGTACCAAAAATTACATGCACTAAAATTCATGGAACTTTATTCGCAGAGGTATTTATGCTCCTATTCAAAAGCTAGTTCCTCGTAGCTATGCACACATTTATAATAAAACTGAAAACTGGACTTCTGTGCCCAGAGCAGGTTACCGTTTTCACTTTTAAACTCTGTAAGCTCTTTTAAAAAGAGCACTTCAAATTCTGATTTAAAAAAAAAAACTTTTGAAATCTTTTTAAAAAAATCACTTGAACTTCTGATAAAAACAGCTGTGTTTATTACAGGATAATTATGAAGAAAATAAGTCTTCCATTATCCCCCTACCCAGAAATAGTAGTTATTTATATTTTGGAGTATTTTCATTTAGTGTTTTCTCCATGGATATAACTCATATTGTATGTCTAGTTTCCTGTTCTTATTCAGTGAATATAAGTATTTTTCCATGCTAGTCAAAATTCTTCTAAAACACCCTTTTTAATGACTATAAAAAAAAACCCTCCATGCAATAGCACCGGAATTGAATGAATCACTCATGTACTGTTGGACTTGGATTTATTACAATGTTTTTCTATGATGCAAAAAAGTAGTGAATGTTCATATTCCTAGATATTTGATTATCTCTGATTATTTTCATAGGAAGTATAGCGACGGGATTACTATGCCAAAAACTATGAACGTTTTTAGACTTCGGAGCCATATGATCAGAGGGCTCCTCAGACAGCCTGTGTCGGCTTCCCATTTGCCAGCAGCATGTGAGAGCCCCCCAAACGCCGAGGGCTTCTCAGCCTCGTCATCGTGTGCTTTTAATTGCTGGCACATTGTTAGGTGGACAGTGCTATCTTCTTGTTTTAAAATTCCATTTAGAAATGTCCTGGTGTGGTTTAGAATGCTTTCAAGAACATGTCTTCTTTTCTGAATCATCCACTTTCCTATTTATACATCAAGACATAATCCTTTGTGTTTATATTTGTTTTACAATTTAATCCCCATTTGACATTTGCTTTCCGTTTGGTCCGGGGGTTTTTGGATGAATGAAATATTGCATGTTAAATGTATTACATGCCTCGATCCACCTTTTCCCTGTGAAAGCTTCCATGGCTTCGTGCCCGGGGATTCTTTTTCCATCCCAGCAGAGCCTATTTTCAAATGAAATCTTTTGCGTTAGACCAACATATGAGAAAGCGGTGAGCTGATCACATTCGAATATATTTGTTTGTTAAAAATAAATATTTGACAGTTATTCTTTATAAAGCCAATCACTCTGAATAAAGAAGCTGCTTTGATGAACAGAAAAGTATGGAACTGGGGTCCTGTTTTGCAGTCTTATGTTCATCTAAGCATCCAATTAATTGTTGAATTTGTTTTAATTGCTCAACAAAGGAAAAAATCTGATTTACACCAAAATAGCTGCAAATGGTCACAGTTTTTTAAAACAGTTTTCCATGTGATCTCAAAACCTCTTCTTAAACTAATCTAAATTTGAATAAACACTATATGACTACGGCTGATGGCTAACACACACCCAGCTGGACCTGGGCGGCAGCAAGCCTCCTAAGTATTGCATACATTCTCTCACTTATTCTTTATGACAACCTCTTGAGGGAAACAGTATTACTACCCCCACTTTACAAATGAAGAAGCTGACGTACAGAGCAGTTAAGTCCTTGCCCTAGAACACATAACGAGTGAGAGGCAGAGCGGGAGTTAACCCAGGAAATCTCGCCCCAGAACCCGTATTCCTTACCACTTACCCCCACCACAGCACCCACCACGGCGCAGCTCCTGTCTGATTTGGGGGGAAAGAAATGAACAGGAAGCACTCCAAATGCTTAGCATTCACTATGAGCTCAGAGAAATTCTAGGGTAATAATTTATCAAGACCTTGATGCAAACCTATTTCCTTCTGTAAGCAAAACTGTGTCATAGATGCAAAAGTTATTTCTTTTTTCTTCTTTTATTGTTGTTCAATTATAGTTGTTCCCATTTTCCCCGCATTGCTCTCCCCGGCAAAAGTTATTTCTATATCCAATCTTTTCAGCAGAGTACTGATGTTTAGAAATCTAATCTTCCTCAGCAACTGGAGGGCATTTGTTTTTGTTTCCAAACACTGCTGAAGAAGAAAGCTGGGTTTGGCCCAGGGTCTGTTCATGGCAATGCTGGTCAGCATTCTAGCAAAATGGCTGTGGATACGATAGAGAACACCAGCCTTAACCTCTTACATGCTTTTCCTGGCTGGTGTCAACTCAGCACAGCTGTGGTTTTAGGTTCGAGGGCAAGTCCCCTGCTCTCAACTCTGACCTCTGAACCTTGGCTCCCTTCCTAAGGCCTCAGTGAGGACTTCCTCAGTTGGTGGTCTTCCTCATCCACCGTGTGAGTTCCATTTTAGTGTGTGTGCTGTTTGGCAAGGGACTAAGTGATGTTTCTTTACTTCTCTTTCAATCCACCTTGTTTTTCTACAAAGCAAGTCATTCCTGTGTTATCAGTCTTCTTCTTTGACCCACTGATTCTTAGACTTTTCCACCAAAGGACTGATCTCTCCAGAAACATTTCAAGCAAGACAGAGCCTAATGAACATCTGACTTCCAGTTGGCGGGATGCTGAAAGGACGTTCTTCCAGAGGGAGGTAAAAAGACCTGCCCTTCCTGTGGTACCCAAAGAGCAGGCTCATTGGCACTCAGGAAACAACTCAACATCATCATATTCACACATACTTACTAAGCTGGGAAGCAGTGAAATATCAAAAAGGAGACTTGACCCAGTCCCTGTCCTCCATGTAAATGAGAAAACAGGGGAGCGTCAGGTATCCAATGCATGGCACAGACAGGCTTAGACACCCCAAGGCACATGCAGTACTAAGACTGGGAGTATTTGATGCTACGGGACTCTTGCAGAGAACTGTCCAATGGGCAGATCCCTCCTAAGGGCACCTTGCCAGACAGACTTCAGTCTGCTCACTGAGCTGCTAAATCCGAGCTGTTTGGGAGTAGCCAGGTACTCCGTGTTCCCCCAGGTTCAAACAACATTTCCTAGACATCATTTCCACTCCTGGGATCAACCAGTAGTAAATGAACACCATAGGGTAACTTGAGGGCCCCTATTCTTGGAGATATGAGTTTATTACTTTCACATGTGATATCTTAAAGACTCTGAAGCTAAAAGACTACTCAGAACAGACCTTTTACTATATAAGCCCTATAGAATTCCTAAATTATAAAAACCACTAAACAGCTAAAGACAAAAAGTTAATTCTAATAAGTTTGCAGAGAGAATGTTTGACCTCATAAGGGATATCTGTTGCATTAATCTTTGATATTCATACAATTGGTATATGTGCATTAGTGCTCCGAAAAGATCCAAACTTTCAGAGATCAAATAGTTTAAATCTTACCCACAGTTTGTCTCTCATTATCTAAGTCATTACTGAGGTTGTCCAAGGAAAGGTTATCGCTTATGTCGCTGGCATATGAGTCATCCTCAGAAACCTATGGGAAAGAGGAAATACTGTACCTCAGGGTGAGAGTAGACAAGCCAGAGTTTCATAAAACGTTTACTGCCACTCATCAAACATTTTGAGTTCCACTTTGCAGGTCTAGAGGAATAATTTTGGATGCTGTTTTTATTCAGGCCCACCCGCATACCTATCTGCATAGGAGGCGTTCACAGCAAACACCTGCTATTAAAATCCTTATACTTGGCTTGTTCTCACAAGGAAGACAGTTAAAATCAACATTTTAGTTCTTATTAAAATTCTTAATTCAGGCTGCATTTTCAGAATTTGTTAGTGTTTGGGTAGAATGAGTTACAATTTGTCTTTGAACTATTGGTGAAAAAAGAATTTTCTATAGAAATTGATAAAGTTAGTACTTCTATATTGAAGGGGTAAAACCAGTCCACACTTATACACTGCAATACCCACTATGATACCACCTATTCAGGAAAGTATGTTTTTATGCATTAACTTAAAACAATATTGTTATATATTATAAATTACTATAATAAGCACATTACAAAATTATAATAATAATTGTATGTTCTAAGTTAACATAGGCCAAATTCAATGATAAAAAAATACAAGATGCTAATTTCTAGCCCTGTAATAGAAGCATTACATTATCAAATAGCTAACAATGAAAATTATTATTAACCTGTAATTGAAAAGAAGGATAACAAATCAAGTAACAGAAATAAGGAAGAGCCCAACACCTACTTTTGCAACCTTTTTTCCTAAGATTTTATATCCTTTTGTGCTTTGGGGGGTATAAGTTATAAGAAGATCCCCAGAATATACTAGTAGAAAGCAGCACTTGAGTTTAGTGTTTCTAAGTATGGGTAAATGGGTCTGGGTAAATACCCAAGTGAATGGGTAAAGCAACAAAAGGGATTCTGAGGCACCTAACTGAAAACAGTGCTCAAACCTCATTTTCTGAAGAGCTTGGAGATAACAGAACTTCCTGTGCGTCAAAGAACTCTGACAGGGAGTCAGCGATGGAGAGTCGGCTCTCGTTGGAAAGCTGATGGACCAGAGGTCGGTTGTCATCTGTGGAGTTTTCCTGTTGAACAGAAACAAAAATACATGTATTTAGAACCAGTCTTGAGAGCGGCAAATTAACACCTGATTTTGTTGCACAATACGCAAGGTCACAGGCCCATGCGAACAAGCAGCTCGAAGCAGAGGTTAGCTCCAGAGTGGAGGAGAAACAAGCCTCAAACAACATAAAATGAAAAACGAGGGTCTCCTCCAAAGGGGCCCCACACGTACAGGCAGCGCTCTGTTCAGGCGTGCGAGCAAACCCATAGCCGAAAAGGGCTTTCCCAGGCGGTCTTTGTTCCATTGAGGAGAGAAAGATTCCAACGCTCTCTGAATCATATCCTCGTATTCTCTACCACGGCAGGATGTTTCTTTTCATCCTAAAATTTCCCCTGAATTGCACTGAATGCCTGTGTTTGCAAGGCTGCTTCAGAGCAGTGTAGCTTTCTTCTGCCCCATGCGCTCACTGAGGCCAATATGCTGCTTTTGAGCTGTCCCCTGGCACATGAACAGGATGTTTTGGTGAGAAGGGCCCCTGGTGGCAGGTCATCCATTATGCATGGATGAACGAGAGAGATTCTCTTTGTCTGTCCCTCGCCAACCACAACGACTCTTGGAGGGAAGGAAATCCCCGTCCCCCTCGGAAGCCACTACAGAAGTAACACAATAGAATATCGTGATTTTCTCATCTGGCCTGGCTCTCCATCCCCTTCTTCACTGGGCCTAGACTCTCCCACTGGGAAATGTGCTTTCTATTCAAGTTGTAAGTGAAAATTCAATTTGCCTCAACAAAGTGAGCGGCTGCTTTTTGCTGGCCACCGAAGGGTGATGGGTAAGGCCGGGTTTCCGGCCTGAGTGAGAGGGGCAGAGGACGCACCCAACACACGAGACTGTGGAGCAGAAGGAGCCTAGGAGCGAAGGGGAAGGTGGCATTGGTTCTCTCAGGGGGCTCTGGGTGGGGAGGGCTTCCTACAAGAGGTGACACCTGACTTGACCTTGAGGGATGAGCACATATTCGGGACACGAGGATTCGATTCCTCCCACATGGAGAAGATTGTTGCCCTGAACTTCCCAATAGCTCCCATTTCTCACTGGACTGACAAAGGAGCTGCTTCTATGGTAGATTATGTCTCTTCCAGAAGTTTTACAAGTTCAGGACACATTCCTCAGTGTCATAAACAAATTATATCCATGATGGGGATGTTAGAACAGGAGGGCCAAAGCAGGTTTTCATAATTCATATAGGGCAAGTGGTCTCTTCATGAAATGTTTACCCCAGGGACACATTTAAACATGTACCCTTTCCTCTTGGTTTCTATGACAGCTGGCTGAAGGTACTCATTGAAAGATCCTACTCATTTTAATATCCACACAGCTTTCTGAAAAGCAGGCTTCTTCTCCACCCTAAGGAAGAGATCACTGGAGGATCTGTAAATAAGTACCACAGCGGCCGGTTTCAAACGAAAGGCCTCTCTCCCCAAAACAGGAGACAGTGGTGAATAACAGAGCTCCCTGAAACAACAGAATTGTCCCGTCCTTGGTGTGCCACTGCCACATAAGACTCTAATGATTTATTTACCTGTTCTCATTAATTTATTACCAGTCACTCCCACTCTCTCTACCCTTCTTCTAGACTGATATGTCAGAAGGATTTCTTGGCTAGTTCCTATAAATACCTGCTGAAAACTCACAGAGTCTTGTACAACACAAGACCTCATTTATTAAAATATTGATTTAGTAAATTCAATTAAATAATATCCCCTGAAGTTTGTAAGGCAGGAGTAGTTGTTCATCTATTTTTTACATTACAAAAAGATAAGTAAACAGAGAGAAGGGAGGAAAGGGAACACATAATCCCATCATATTGAAACCACTAAAACTGTTTTGATACACTTCTCTACAATCCTTTTTTATAAGGTTTTGCTTTGAAATAATTGTAATATCTATCTATCTAATTTTATAAACTTCCTCCAAACAACATAACATCATCATAACTATTTCCAAAACTAACATTTGTTCTAAGGATAAAAATTATGTGTTCAAAATAGAAAATACAAAATGTAAATAAACATCACTTCAAGTCTCATCACCCAGATGTGGCTCCTATTAACTTCTTGGTGTACTTTACGTATTAAAACATTTGTATATAGTTTTTTTAGGTATGAAAAATTGGGATCACACTGTAAAGAGTCTTTAGATAGTCTATTATATTCATCTAACATTATATTGTGAGCTTTTCCCCAGGCTGTTAAAAGTTCTTTGAGACAATAACTTTAGTTGATAAACAAGGTTTTATTTTAACTGTGTGTCACAGAGAACCATTTTCTTTATTGGAAAGTAAGGGTGTTTCCAAATTTGTAAAGATGGTGAATATGTTTCTAAATGTGTCTTTGATTACATTTCATTATTCCTTAGAATCAGTTCTCAGAAGTATTATTAAAAATGTTTAAGGCAAAATACATGTTACCTAATTACATCAACAAGTAAGAGAACCTCTATTTTTCTCTATATCCATAAGGACACCAAATACTTTATTTTAATTGGCATTTGTTTGTTAAGAATTAGGTTGAACATTTTTTTCCCTTTAAAAAAATCTACATGTAGCCCTGGCTGGTGTGGCTTAGTGGATTGAGTGCTGGCCTGCAAACCAAAGGTTCGCCGGTTTGATTCCCAGTGTAGGGCACATGCCTGGGTTGCGGGCCAGGTCCCCAGCGAGGCGCATGCAAAAAACACACTGATGTTTCCCTTTCTCCCTCCCTTCCCCTCTCTCTAAAAATAAATAAATAAAATCTTAAAAAACAAACCTGCATGTCGAGATGTTAACATTGGAGGAGGCTAGGTCAGGGTATATGAGCCCTCGCTGTGCACTTCTTTACAACTTCCTATGAATTTGTAAGTATTACTAACTAAAAAGTTTTTAAAAATTACCTGTATTTGGGGTTTTGGTGAATTGTATCTTTTCCCCCCGTTTATTTGCTTAGGTCTTAAGTTGCTTCCTATTATTTATTAATGAATTATTAAATACATTATCACCTACTTAGCATTATCTAAGTTTGTCATTCTTCACTGAAAATGCTTTTCCTAGTCTACCCTATGCATTACTTTTTCACACACACCATTTCCCCCCTAGAAAAAATGATAGCCAAATCCAGTCCACATTTCATTGTAGTTCTTCCTATTACCTCCCCAGCTCGGAACTCCTCCCTACTCTAAGCCATTTGATAAATATTTAAATCAATATTTTTCGGCTTGAATTTTTATATTTAAATCTGATTCACCGGCGATTCATTTTAGTGTGCGATGGGAGATTTAAACTGCTTTCCAAATTGCTTTTGAGCTGTGCCAACTTAACTGATTGAATAATCCATCTCTCTCCCATTGATTTTTGAGCTTCTTCTATCTTGTTTATTTCTTTGCCCAGGCCCACAATGAAGGCCACCACAGGTCATGTGTAGGGGGTCAGTCCTGCGGGGGATGCGCTCTCAGTCTAGGCTAATATGACTGAAAAGATCTTTTAGGGGGGGCGAATGCAAAGAGGAACTTCACAGGCAACCAAGGCTTCATCTCAGAAGTAATGAGAGGCCCTGAGCTCTGTGGAGAGAAGGCAGTTCCCCCATCAGGAGAGAAGGTCCTTCCATCAGCACATCAAGCCTGTGTGGCTCCTGGGCCTGGCAGGCTGGGCCCTGACTGATTCTGGCCTCTTGCCTGCTCATCTGGACACTGCAGCTTCCCAAGGAGCAGGGGACTGTGTGAGGTTTTGTTTTCTTTGAGGACAGGAAAAGGGGAAAGATGGATTAAGATTAAACATTAGAAGTTCCTTTTAAAATTTTCACACACACCCCTTGTATATTACCTTCCTTATTTTTTATTTTAAATGCACTCAACCTAATAAAACTGTTAATGAAATATTCAGCACATTTGAGGCATATAAATACAAGAGATAGCTTAAAACAGTTTTAACCCTAATTATCCTTTTGCACTAATTCATTTGTATTTCTCTGAAATCTCTCGTAAACACATGCAAAGAGCATTTTAGATTAACCTCCTAAGCCTTGAGAAAACACAGTTTCAAGGTACTATTAACTGGCCCAAACCCTTCAATTATAATAAGAGTATTTTTTTCCCCTCAGAGGGTAAGGCTGTGCTTTTAAAAGCAAAGGAGAAAAATCACAGAAAAGGAAGAAAGGAACAGCAAAAAAGAAAGAGAGTAGGCCTCACAGAGGGAGCAAAAGATGCCGGCAGGGACCTAGGAAACGAAGGTCCGAGAGATTTGGGTTTCTTCAGAAGTAGCAGGAGAAAGTGTTTGTCTCTCTACAGCTTCTGCTGCAGCCATACCTAGTGACACAGGGGATACTTAGGAGAAAAATGGGGGAAAGAAACACAAAGGGAAGAAGAGTTCTAGCGGGGAAAGAAGTTTTTAAAATGCAGTGAGCAGCAGAGCCAGGAAAGCCTGGGATCCGGGGCGCCTGCCCGGGCCGCTGTGGGGCGGCGGTGGGCGCGGGCCGCCCTCTGTCGGGGAGGCAGGGAGGCCAGGGAGACATTACCGGAGGAGGAGCCTTACCCACCTCTGCCAGACTGTCCGCCGACCTGGCAGCAGCTGGGGGGTCGAGGAGCAGAGACTCAGCATGGATTCTGCGTAAGCGTTCTTTAAGATCTGTGTTTTGTGCTAGGGCCTGGAACATGTTAAAAATAGTGTTTCAGGAAAGCACCGAAGTGGGCCCAGCGTGACCGCCCCGAGGGGGCACTTCCTGGGCTTTGTTCCTTGAGTGCTATCCAACAGGTACGGCTCTGAGACGCCTGGAAAACGAAAGATGGTAAACTCTGGAAACAGGGCCCTTCTCTAATCTCATTTCCAGAGACGGACGGGGAGGTTAGTAAGGCTTTCCTTTTAGAAGGAAATCACAGGCACCTGCAGCCCTTATTCTGACCAGTGGTTTCCCAGCTGTGTTCACAGTGTCCCTCTGTATCCCCAGGGGACCCCACTGATGCCAAAGTCCACGGATGCCCACGGCCCTTTGATAAAATGGCTAGGACGTATTTGCATATAACCTACGCACTAACTCTCATATACTTTAAATCATCTCTAGATTACTTATAGTACTTAATACAGTATAAATGCTATGTAAATAGTATCCAGTTATACTGTACTGTTTAGGGAATAATGACAAGAAAAATGTCTGTGTATGTTCAGTGCAGACCATTGCAACCCTCACAACCATCATAGACCTCACTACATAGTACACACCAGCAATAACGTAACATTTTTTAAAGAGTGTTTTCTATCCTTGGTTGGCTAAATCCGTGGATGTGGAACCTGTGGATACAGAGGGCTACTGTCGTCTCTGAGCAAGTCACACCCTAATGAGTCTAAGCTTCTTTCATCTTTTTTAAAGATGCTGCCCTCACCCCTTATGATTGGCCATATTTTAATGTTATTTAATTATCACGCCAGTTGAATTGAATCTTGGACAGTAGAATTTTGTGGAGGGTTAGTTTCATTGTTTCCCAAATACAGGTGTTGATTGTTTTATTCATTCTTTATGATGAAGATATTTGATTTAAAAAAAACAAACAAACTCACTTACCTGGATAAGGGGTAAGACCCAGGGCCCTGGCAATGGTGGGGGGCGTGTAGATGGGAGCGCATGGGGGCCCCCCGGCCTCTTCTATCTCTCCCTGGCCTGGCCTGACTTCCTAGCCCAGCCCCCCAACCTGGAAGGAACTGGCCTTCATGCTTCTCAATCCCCTCTCCTCCATGTGCTCAGTGTTTGGGAAGGAACGAGTCCGCCCGACTGTTCCCCAGGCGCTCCCACCATCAGCCCCCGCACGCCCCGCCCCGCAAGCCGCTGCCTGCGCCCCGCCTGTCTTCCCGATTCTCTCCCAGGGACCTCGGAGCCTCCCCACCCACCAGGGCCCGCCCACACACCTGCCTGCTGAGAACACAGCAGGCGTGGCCCTGTCTAATCCACGGCCTGGGTCTCAAGCACGGACTTGGGCTTTATTTGTTAGCACGCAGGGATGGAATGCGCTATTTGGAAATTCTCAAACATTGTTGAGGAAACCCTGAGTACAGGTTTCTTAAACACACAGAATAGAGATTGTTACAAGTAGCCACAATCTCTACATTTATTTTATTCTGGCCAATGTGCCACTGGTATCCTAGTCTAACTGGCTAGAATATGTACCCATGGCTAGAACCTTACTATGTTCTGAAAAATGTGTTATTTTACTAGCTTCTTTTTTACTTGCAGGCTACCAGCAGAAAAAGAAAAATATCAAGGCCCGCAATACAGCACAACCTACCCACGCTGACAGCCCTGAGATGACTCTATCGGGGATGCATGACAAAAAGGAAAGGCTCGTTTTGATGTAGCTTAAGTTTCCGAGGCCCTGAACAGGGGTGAGAGGGAATCCTTCAGTGAAGGCGATGACAACTTGGGCCTGGACGCGATGGCCAAATGCGTCTCACTGGCTCCACAGACAAGCAGGTTAACAAGAGGAGGCCAGACTCCATGGAAGGAGGCAGGAGAGAGCAAGACCACAGTGAACGGGACTTGGGGAGCCCGTAAGAATGAGGTGCCTTCTAAAACCACTGAAAGCCAACCGGCTGGGAATGATAAGAAATGCTTTGTTACCATTTGGAAAAAAAAAAAAAAAAAAAGAACCACTGTGCTTCTTTCAAACCAAGTTAGCGCCCAGCGTGAGGCTGGCCACTAAATCCAAAAGGGCGTGTTTCTACCTCTGACCTTGAAGACCCCAGAGTCCCTCATGGCAGACATCACTGCATTTCTTATTTCTTTCAAAGGTGACATACTTGGAATGTTCAACTGAGTGAATATTCCTTAAGTATTGTACAATAATAATATGCACTACTGGTAATGCATTTACCATTAACATTACACCAAGAGCATCACTTCACTTTCTCAGTAACACGATGACAGGAAACGTGAATGGGTATGTTCTAGCTCTCTTGGCTGGCTTCTGGAAACAAGATCCTAGAATTCATGTCCCCTCCCTAAGCCTAAAGAGCAAGTTTATTGTTTCTTCAGATGGAGATTTCACAGGTGCACACACATTCTCCTTTTACCATAGGAAATCCAAAGCAGAAGCAAAAGAAGGAGCAAATCAAGAATGTTATTTTAAAAGTTCTCTAGCTTTTTGGTAGATAAAAAGGTAGCAACCAGACAACATTAGCCATTCAAAGTTAGAGTTCCAGAAGCCCTTCAATGGAGACTGACTCTTCCGAGGAAGAAACTGGAGTAGATGAAAAAAAGGAGAGAGAGAGTGAAAGACAGAATGGCTTCCTCAAAAACGTCTGGCGCTTGACAGGGATTCCCCGGCTGTCACACAGGCAGAAGGTTACCTTCAATGCCTATGACTCACCTCTCTCTGCCCACAGGTGGCGGGGGGAGAGGGAAGCTAAATGTTTTGTGCTATCGCATCAAATTAAATACAGTCACACCTCGGTACGCGTCGGCTTCAGACCTCATCAAACCTGGTACTCGTCACATTTTGACAAGAAAAAAAGTTCAGCAGTCAGCACTTGCTTGGGGCTTGTTGCACCTGCTAGAACTTGTATGAGTCATGATGCTGCCCCGCAAAAGAAAATTTCTTATGGGAAAAATTCGTTTGGTACTCATCAGTTCTGGCACTTGTCACGAGTTCAGGAACGAAATAACAACGAGTACCGAGGTACCACTGTAATATTCACGTCTTTGGAAGAATGGTAAACAGAATCGGTGCTGTGCAGCAGAGAAGAGGGGAATTAAAATTTTGCTCTACTGCCTGTTATTTGGAAAGTCGGTTTACGCTTGTGAAGTCTTAGGCACAACTGTCAGAATGTTGTAAGCATCAGCAAACCAATGTCTGTCAGACACACACAAACACACAACAAAAGCTTTACAGAAACAGAAAAGTCAAGATAAAGAGAGGAAACCAAACCTGAAGTATCTTATGCTCAATAAAATACTAGCTACTAATAAGACTTGGGGTGGGCTTAGTTCTGGTCTTTAGAATAAGAAGATCTGATGAAAGTCTAGAATATAATTTGGATAATTTGTTTTCCAACAAATTTGGATGAATTTTCAACACAACCAAGGAGATGCAAAATATAGAAAATTCATGAGCCAGGACCCATTGTCAGGCATTTCCGTACACAGACGTGGCACTTACGGACGACAGGGCGCGCTTCAGACCAATGACCTGGGCAGACGGGGACGAGACATCCTGCTCCATCAGCTGCTTCAGTTTCTCTCTCTCCGCTGATATGGTATTAAAAGCTGACCGTAAAGTGCAGTAAACTATAAAGATATAATCATTATAAAAAGAAATGAAGGAAGAGGCATGATTACAAACAAGATAGAGAGAGATGTATTTCTTCTAAAAGAACTTTGAAAAGTAACAGCCCTGGATATTTTGAGTACAGGAAAGATACATTCTAAATTGACTTTTTAAAAACACTTCTAGAATGTACACCACCAGGAGGGAACCCTAAGGTAACCTATGGACCCTGGGTGATAATGACGAGTCAGTGTAGGCTTATTGATTGTAACAAATGGCCCACTCTGGTGGGGTGTTGATAGCGGAAGGGGCTGTATATGTGTGGGAGGGGCCGGGGGGGTTGTATATGGTAGCCCTGTACTTTATAAGCTCAATTTTGCTGTGAACCTAAAACTGCTCTAAAAAACTAAAGCCTATTAATTTTTTTAAAATAGCATTTTATAGTAGGTGGGTACTTCATAAATTTGTTGCAATAATTTATAAAATTATAAAGCACCTACCCATTATAAAATTCAATACTTTTATGACTTATTGTCAGGATATTTGACATCTGAAAGGACTATACTTTTGGATTCTTATTAACATTTAGTTTTGCTTTTAAGACTAGAAATGTTTGAAAACAAAGTTCATTGGTTCTCGGGGTAAAAACAGTAACAGTGCAGTAGAGGAACTAAACAGCACCTTAACTAGGTGACCAAAATTAATCACCAGCAAGAGTCCGCCGGGCTTCGTGGTACTTGGGGTGAAACACCCTGAAAAAGGCACTCTGTCACTTGTGTTGGATGCAGGCCAGGGACAGGCACTCTGAGTATGACCATGAGGAAACATCAGACAACCCCGAGTAAGGAACATCCTATTTTTAAAAGTTGGCCTACAGGTCAATTTTATTAAAGAGAAAGAAAGAAGCCTGAGGAACTGTTACCAATTAAAGAAGACGAAACAAGCATGACAATTGCGTGCAATATATGACCATGGACTAGACCCTGTTCTGAAGGGGGAAAGTGCTCTTAAAGGACGTTATTGGGGTAACTGACAACATTTGAATAAGGAGGTAGAATAGGTAACAGTACTGTTTCAATGCTGAGTTTCCTGGATTTTATAACTGAACTGTGGTTAAGGATATCCCTATTCTTAGGAAATATACACTATGGTATAAATGCATAAAAAAGGCATGACATAGGATTCCTACTCTCACAGTTCAGAAAAATAGGCACACGTGCATGTGGATGTGTGTAGAAAGAAGTAAAATAAGTGTGGCAAAATACTAAAAATGGTGAATTTCGGTAAAGTATATATAAGAGTTATTTGTATTATTCTTGCAACCTGTGGGTAAGTTTGACATTATTTCAAAATATAGAAGGTGCTACCTACCCTCTTCCTTGTTAGTCTTCCCAGAAGCTTGACCCAGAAACCCCCTGCCCCCAAGCCTGGCAGTTAGCCACTGTGCTCACTTCCGTGAGCATTCAGTTACAATGAGAGCTAAGCACTGCTAGGCACTCAGATTTCAGCACTGACGTTTAAGCAGCTGAAGTGCCCATCAATAGATGAGTGGACAAAAAAAAGCTGTGGTACATTTACACAATGGAATACTCCTCAGCAGTGAAAAAGAAATCTTACCTTTTGCAACAGCATGGATGGACCTGGAGAGTATTAGGCTAAGTGAAATAAGCCAGTGAGAGAAAGACAAGGACCACATGATTGATTTCACGTATATGTGGAATCTAATGAACAAAATAACGTAAAAAACAAAATAGGAACAGGATCATAAATACATAGAAGAGAAGCTGTCAGAGGGGAGGGCAGTTGGGGGCTTGGGTGCAAAAAGTGAAGGGATTATAAAAAGAACACACAGACACAGACAACAGCACGTTGAGAGAAGGGGGGATGGAAGGAGGGAGAAGAGGGCAAAGTGGGGATAAACGGTGGCAGAGGAGACTTGACTTTGGGTGCCGAGCACACAGCGCAGTATGCAAATGACGTGTTATAAAGCTGTACGCTTGAAACCTGTATGGTTTTATTAACCAATATCACCCCAACAAAATCAACTTAAAACACCCATTAACACATACAGCAAAAAATTCATCGGGCACTGATCACAGAATGCAGATTACCTCCTACAAATGAGGAAAGTGCCATCTAAATTATTGGTGATGGACATCACATCTGAATATTATCTTTCCAATCTCCTTGATTATACTTTGTTTTAGAAGGGCAGGAAGAAGGAAAGAGACATACTTCTCCAATGGCCTGGTATATTATTAAATTCCATGGGTTTGGATTTTTTAGAGATAGCTATTCAAGAGTGGCCTATGTAGTATCACAGAAACCACATAAGCATTATTGGCTGTCTTCTTTCACTTCACAACCACGAGGACAACTGAACCTTTCTATAGGTTGTCACTGAAATTGTCTGAGGCTGTGGTGTTCAGCAAGAGATTTAGAGCATCTTCACGGTCATAGTACAAATGAGCAATTTGTTAAAAAACACACAAATTATGCTGCTTCTGCCTACACAAGACAGGTCAAGGGTCAGTAGGTACTGCATTTTCTAATAACGTCTATGGAACACACTCAACTCTTTAAAGGATTCGGTTAAGCCGAAGAGTGGGCAGCCCCACAGAGTGACCATGGAGTGTGGGCTCCAGCGCCATCCTTTCCTCATTGTATGACTATGGACAAGTGGACAATGAGTCTGAACCCCAGTTTCCTCATCTATAGATGGGGATAATAATAGCATTTACTTCCTAAGATCATTAAGGGATTGATAGATAATGTGAGTAAAGCACTAACCCAATGCAGAACATATAATAAATAACAAATGACACTGCAATAATAATAGTGATGGCGAGGGAAGAAAACACAGGACAGTGCAAATGGTGGTGACTGTGGTCTCCTGGAATATGGGCAGCAGCCGTAGGAGGACGCTTTAGTCCGTTGCCAGGACAACACCTATAAGTAACTGCATGCAGGGCAGAGGTTCTATGACTGAGGGACTGACCAGAGCCTACTGAGCGGTGGAAGAGCAGACTCAGCTGGAAAGCGACAGGCCCCCAGTGAAGCCGCTGCCTCTCACGCCTGTCGGACAGGCACTCCCGGCCCGTGCAAGTCCACGGAACACATCGCCCTGCTGAGCAGGTGCCTGGGGGATGTCGCTTCACTGCCGTTATTTTTAAGTTCCTTTCGTTTATTATTAGGATTCCTTTCTTTTTAAGATTGAGGTATAATGAATAACATAACATTAGTTTCAGGTGTACAACAAAATGGTTCAATATTTGTACACAGTGCAAAATGATCACCACAGCAAGTCTAGTTAACATTCATCACCTTACCTAATTGCAAAAATAAGACCCAGCTCTTTCCACTGTCTTATTTATTGCTCTAAATTAAATAAATGTGGCACTCAGCTGGTTGCCACTTCACTGAATCAATTCCCAGGGCTTTCAGATGGCCTGCACTACCGCTAGGCACTCAACCAAACTGGAGGATTCCTATGAAAATTTTTTAACTGGCAGAACGTGCACCATTTGGTTCAAAATCTATAGTTGACAAGACTGTGGTGAGCATCAAGTAAGCAGAAAGAACCTCATATATTCACTTATTTATTTATTTATTAGAGAGACAGGGAGAGAGAGGGGGAGAGAGAGAGAGACAGAGAGAGAGAGAGAGAGAGAAGGCGGGGAAGGGAGGGAGAAAGAAACGTCAGTCAGGTGCCTCCCATCCACTCCCCTACCTGGGACTGAACTCACAACCTAGGTACATGCCCTGACCAGGAATCAAACCCATAACCTTTCGGTTTATGGGACAATACTGTAAGCCACTGAGCCACACTGGCCAGGGCATAGTCACCATCTTTAATTTTATGGTGTAAAGCACTTTCTAAGTCACCCGACAAAAGGGCTCAGAAGCCCAGACCTCCATGCACCAAATTTCTTCAATGACTGCTTAGGCTCACTCGGGGGGGCATTAAAATAGTCCTCCACAGCAGCCTGATGGCCTAGGACACACAGAGCAATGATTAAAGGCTGGTCACAGGAAATTATATTTATGTTAATTGCTAAAGGCACAAAATCTCAGAGGTCAGGCAGGAATCCTCTCTGTGGCAAGAGTGTTTCCTTATTAATCTCTAAGATAATGCTAGAGAAAAAGAAAGGTAAATGGGTGTATCACATCAATGGATATCTGATAATCAACAAGACCACGTGAAAAGTCTTAGATGCTCCCAACTACAAAGAACTTCAATGACGGTGAAGGCTACCACCACGTAGAATGACCAGCAGCTCTCCACCTGCAAATGTCCTTGTTAAATGGCCTTTGGGTCCACTTCTCAGAGCATTTTCTGTCTCCTGAAGCAGTCCACCCTTCTGGGGTAACAAATTACTCCTCAGTAGCCATTTATCCCGGTGACTCCTCATTGGCAAACAGTGTTACCTCCTCTTTCCTGGGGTTTTCAAACATCAGAAGGCGATTCTGGCATCTCTGATTTACTCATCTCTTTCCCAGACTCTCTTTAGCCATTTCTCAGACCCGTCGCTATACTGAGAGAGTGGGACATGGGTCGAGCTTCCGGCAGAACAGAATGCCATAGGTATCATACAACTGACTTTTCATGGTCAATGTAAACCTCATTTTTTTCCCTTCCAAGGGAGAATGTGAGCTTCCACTTCGACGTGGAGCACCCTGACCCCAGTCCTACACTATTCCTTGATTTTCTATCCTAAATTTGCTCACCAAGTTCAGTCATTTCTGTTTCTATTACTAATAGGACACTCGCTCATAAAATAACCTTGTAACAAGAAGCAACGGTGTGAATTATTTCTATGCAGTGAAAAATAATTAACCGTGGAAGACCATTACAAAGTTAGAGAGCAAAAAGAGTCAGCGCAACTATTTTACGACTTTTAACAGCCACGGCAGCTGAGGCCCAGAGAGGCCCCATAAGGTCGAAGTCCCACAGCTAGTCCGTCAGATGTGGCACCTGTCTCGACCCAGCCAGTGTAGAGCGCTAGCTCCAAAAAGGCTTGCTATTGACAGTGTCTCCTGCAGTATGTTTTTAGGGAATTTTAGTTCCATAGTGATAGTAGCCAATAGCTGTTTGAGTAGGAAGGGGGAGAATTTCCCAAGTAACACTGAAAATTATTCAAAGCTAAATACAGAGTAAAAAACAAAGCTAATAGAATTGCTGTATGACTTATCAGGACCTCTAATAGTTATTGTTTCTTACATAACTGCAAAGAGGACCAGAGTAAACACTGCTTTCCAGACATTTTGGATCACTGGTTTTAAAAACATTTTATGGGTAAAGTGTTCCATAAAATACAGTTTGGGAAATATAATGGCTAATATATGCAATGTAAATTACTTATGACTTTTAGATATTAGGACACATGAACCATTGGGAATTAGTTCAAAGATATAACATAAAAATCAAATTTATGGTATAAAACATAACAAGGACTTTTTACAATGGTTATATATTGGTTATCTACCATTTGCTCTAACTCCTACAACACAGGGAGAATTCCAATGTATTTATCAAGTTGAAGAAAAAGTGGGTATGTAGTAGGTTACAAAATCAGTAGAATTCTTGGCTTTAGTTCAACTGCTCTGGAATCATAGGCAATAAATTAGCAATATGGTCAAGGGAGTTCAATGGGAAGTGTCAGTGACAAAATCAGGCTTATGCCCGAAGAAATGTATGGACATGAGAAAACATGAAGGTCACAGGATTCTGGGCCAATCTGAAAGCTGTCTTCATCCCACGAGGCCTCTGAGTTACAGCCTGTATAAAGAGACTCCAGGAGACCCTGTAGTCTCTGTGTGGGTGTTAATACCGCAGGAAGGGACCAAGGCTCATTAGACTCGCTATGGAAGTCACTGTCTGCAAAGCCCTCCAGGTGCTGGCTCTTGTAGGATAAGTGCACCTGGTCCCTACCGAGAGCACAAACCTTGACCTCATCTAGGTGTGTGGCAGCTCTGCAGCCAGCTGGCTTTTGCAAAGCCCGAAAGGCAGAACAGCTGGCTGAGGCCATTTGAGACAGCCTGCGAGGCTGAGTCTCTGCAGGGGGACGAGGTCAATGGATCAACTCAACGTGGCAGCTCCTTCTCTGCTGAGGGAACAGCTTCCTCAGTGTAGGTCAAAGCCAGGCTGCTTCCCTTCTGCCAGGAGAAGTGTTTTCCTGTTTGCAAAATGTCAGTTCATGTTATTGAAAAGTAATGGTGTTTTACAAGCATTTCTTCCCTCCAAACCTAACATGCCATGCCCTAACTATAACTGATCCTTTAAGAGCAGAGAACATACAAGGGGATGTGTGAAGAGCTTTAAAGGACTGGGGTGGTAATTCCACCCATTTCACAGATGGGTCATATATCAGCACTGCAAGGCGCAGACAAAGTTCTAATGAGAAGGTGGGCAAGAGTCTGAGGTGGGAATTGCAAAGAGCAAAAAATGGCTTCCTCATAGCCCACATGTTTTAGCTGTGCAGGGTGAGGGAAAAGAGCGGACAGAATCAGTAATGGGAAGGAAGAGAAATGCAGGCCTAGGAGAGCAAGGCAACGGAGGGAATGTCTTCTTTCCTCCAGCAAGCACAGCGCTCCCATTTAAAAAATGTTCACCCATTTTCTCCTTTAAAAATGATTAATATATGAAATAAAAGAGATAAAGCACAAACAAGGTAATAAGTAGTTATTACTTCAGCCTCCACCATGAAAATGCTGGTGTATCTCCTTCCTGACTTTGGAGTATGTCTATGTATACCACGTTTATATAGTGCATTTCTTCTGAAAAATTGGGATCATATCTATGGGTTGTTTTGTGGCCTTATATTTTCACTCAACGATATGCTATGAACATCTTTCTATCTCTATAAAAATAACCCTGACTACCCCATCTGTAAGGGCAATGAGACACCAGGTGAGAAGCCCAGATTCTGGGGTCAGGCCGGTTAGGATTCAAGTCTCAGGTTGGCTGTTTTCCACCATGTGAACTTCAGGGAGTTCTTTGTCTTCTCTAAGCCTCAGGTTTCTTATCTGTGTAATGGAGACGTCAGCAATACCTACTCCATAGGTCGTTGCTAGAATTAATGAAACAGCACATGTAAAGTGCTTCACCTCACAGACGGCTCTGAGCTCGAAATAAGGTAGCTATTAATTGTTATGTGGCTATTGACTATTCTGTCATGCGATTCCATTACATTTAAAAAATCCAGCCCCTCGATTGTGGGGCATTTAGGTTATTTCTAATTTTTTTAAACTTTCTATTTTGAAATCATTATTGTCTCCCAGGAAGTTACAAAAACAACACAGAGAAGTCCTGGACACCCTATATCCAGGTTCCCAGGGTGGTTAATGTCATACATAACTACGGTACAATAGCGAAGCCAAGAAACCGACTTTGGGATAACTGAGAGCTCTCATTCGGATTCCACCAGTTTCACACGCTCCTGTTTGTGTATACATGTGCACATATAGGTCAATGTAAGTTTATCACATGTGTAGATTCATGAACCACCAGCAGAATCAGGATACAGAACTTTGCATCACCACCAAGTTCCCTCTTACTAACCTTTAAAGTCACACCCATACTTTCCCCTTTCTCTCCTCCCTGTCTGTAACCTCTGACAGCCGCTAATCTCTTCTCTATCTCTATCATTTTATCACTTCAAAACTGTTAGTAAGTGAAACCATACGCTACGTAACCTTTCAAGATTGACTATTTTCAGTCAGCCTAATGTCCTTGAGACCCCTTCAACTTCTTGTGCATAACCACAGTCTGCTCCTTTTCATGGCTGAGTAGTATTCTATTGTAAGGATGTACCACCATTTGTTTAACCGTTTACCTGCTGAAGAACATTTGGGTTGTTCCAGTTTTTGACTAATACAAATAAACTTGCTCTGACCATTTGTGTACCGGTATTTTTGTGGACTTGAGTTTATATTTTCTCTGGGATAAAGGCCCGGGAATGTGAATATTGGGTTGCATGGTATGCTTATTTTTATATAAAATTGCCAAACTTATACACAGTGGCTGTACCATCTTGCATTGCCACCAGTAATGTAGGAGAGATCCAGTTTCTCTGTATTCTCACCAGCATTTGGTACTGTCAGTATTTTTTTTTTTAATGTTAGCTATTCTTATAGGTGTGTGGTAATATCATGGTTTTTAATTTGCATTTCCCTAATGGCTAATGACGTTGAACATCTATTTCTAATTTTTGATTTATACACAGTGCTACGATGAATATCTTCATTTGAATACATTTTAAGTTAATTCCTACAAATGAATTCTTTAGAGTGGAGTTACTGAATAGGCAGATTTTTTAAGTTGAAACGTAATGTCATATCATCCTCCAGAACAGTACCAATTTCCACCCCCAACAGCTGCATATAAATTGCTCAGCTCTTAAATTATACCTAATGCTCCCACTATTTCCCTTAAGGGTGATGTTTTAAAAAAACAAAACAAAAACAAAAAAAACCTTTTTGCCAATACACTCCCTATTCCCAGGGACATAAAATAAGATGAAAATTGGGTGGCCTAAAATCTCAATAGATCAGTAAATTAACCAACTAAGGCCCCCTCTCCAAGGACAGCCTACATTCAGGTATGCATTTAACATTTTCATCAGACACCTTAGAAACAAAGAAAACTCACTCACCTTTATGGGCAATACGACACAGATCTTCCTGCATTTTAGAAAACTCAGAGGAGGTTTCAGAACCATCAGAATAATTTTTCTCTTCTCCAAAATCTAGTGTTGACAAATTAGGGTTGGAAGAATGCAGTCTTTGTGGGCCAGAGAAGGGCTTAGGGACCTGCAGTGATACCAAAAGGAGATATTTCTTTTCAGATGCAAATTGCTTCGAATATTTACTTGTTTCTGGAAAGTAGTAAGAAAAGGACTATACATAGGAAAGTCTTTCTATGGAATGGTTACTTTTAAGAAAAATGAATGAAAATTCAGGAAAGCATTTTCCAAATTGCGCTGGCTTCTTGGAAAAATACAAATGCGTGAGACATTACATGTGAGCAGCCTGTCCTTATCTGCGGGGATATGTTAAAAGACCTCCCAGTGAATGCCCGAAACCCTGCACAGCACTGAATCATATGGGCATGCAATTTAAAACTTATGAATTGTTTATTTCTGGCATTTTCTATTTAGGGTTTTTGGACCACAGTTGACCATGGGAAACAAACCATGGAGAGTCAAACCTCAGTTGAGGGGAGGCTGCTGTTTTCTTGGGAAATGAGGAAAGCATTAAAGCTATAGGTTGAAAATGACCACTGATGCTGCCAGGTTCTTGCTCACTTATACTCAGTTCCTTCTTCCCAGCCATGATCACCCGGTGTCTAGGTTGTTATAATGGATAGGTTTAAAAATGTGTGTTCTTTTGTAATTTGCTCCTGGTGCTTCTAGAAAATGAATTAATTTCTCACATATTTGTACCCAAATCATTTTTATTTAGTTCAACCCAGAAACTGCCTCAAGCCAAGGAGTCTGCAAGAATGTAGAAGGTGACTTATCTGTAACTTCCTGATTTATTTGGACCCTAATAATGTTGCAATCTAACATGCAATGGCCCAGCTGCAGACCTCGGCCTCTGGCTGAACTGTGTATTGGGAAAGTCCGCACCTAGTGAGACACAGTAAACATCTGAGGGGAAAGTGGAGACAAGAGGCAAAAAGTGTCTGCATAGGTCCTGTACCCAGAAACTCCAGCCAGCGGGCTCAGAGGGATGAGGAGTCCGCGAAGCAGCAGAAGGGGCGGGTCAGAATGCCCACCCAAGCAGGGGCATGGCAGGCAGGCTCAGCATTCAAGCAGGAGAAACCCAAGTCCCAGGAACGGCTCTGTCCCTCCAACCTCACACTATTTTCCCTCACCCAGTATCTATTACATGCCTATTCTAGTGTCCAGAAAACCTAAGAGGTTGAATTCATCTTTCTGCACAGGATATTTGAGAGAATAGCTGGAACATCCACTTGTCTATTCTCCTACTTGAGTTCAAGTAGCCCCCAGCATTTGGGGTGTGGAGAAGGGCCAATGAGGAATCCAGCCCGTGGGGAAGCAATGGTTACCTGTAGTGTTCCTTTAGCATCTTTGCCAATAGCTCGGGACCGCCACCTCCTGTGTGATCTTTTCTCCTTTTTGGGACTTTCAAAAGCTCCACCCTTGGTTTCAAAATGGGAAAGAGAGCACAGACAATAAAGTCCACCAAACCAATGGGGGAAAACACACAGCAAAGTGACCACTTCCATCCCCTTGAACTTGCCAACGCACCTGACTAGACAGCATCCCACTGTTAGCGAAGGGCGGGGAGGAGAAAGGAAGGCAGAAGAGAGTGGGAATGCAAGGAGGAGAGGGACCTGGCTAACCTGGATGGCGTTGATGGCGGGCGCCGAATACGTCCGGTGCAGGACGTCCATGCTTTGGAGGAGCTGGCTCATTTCCACCAGGCAGGAATGGCAGTGTGCCAGGTCTGTGGGAGAAGAGCAAAGGGCAGATTCAGGGGCACTCCTCTGGGCATTCAGCCTTCGCTGTGCTGCTACCAGCTACTTTTCTCATGTATCCATATCTGATGTACATCTGTAAGGGCAGGAAATCTGACTTCCTTTTTTATAGGAGAGGCAATAGACTATCATGGGTAAAGGCATGGGTCTGGAGACCCAGGCTGCTTCCTTCTGAATCCACTTAATGAACTGTGAGTCTTGGGGCAAATTCTATAACTGCTTTGTGCCTCAGTTTCCTCATCTGGAAAATGGGGATAATTACACACCTAGCTCACAGGATAGTTGTGAGTTAAATGAGCTCATCTATGCACTGTGCTTTGAGAGTGTTGGCACATTGTAAGCACAAATCATCATCATCATTTTTAATAACATGATAACAGGATGTCACTGTCCACTTATTAGGACTCGGTACAAGTTAGATTAGTGAAGATCATACTGGTCTTAAAGATAACTTGGTTGATCATGGGCCTGCATGAGGACCCTGATGATCCCCTGCAGACTGATCTAAAAAGAACCTAAGGTATTCTCGAACCAGTTCCTGGGTCACTAGGTGATAGAAGCTGTTTCTGCCAAGAAATCAAAGCCCAAATGCATTAAGATAGCGCTTCTCAAACTCTGGTGTCATCAGAATCACTTGGAGAGCCTGTTAAACCACGGGTCGTTGGGATCCACTCCTGGTTTCTGATTCACTCTCTGTGTTGGGCCTGAGAATTTGCATTTCTACTGAGTTCGCAGGCCAGACCAGTGCTGCCGGTGAAGCTCTAGAGCGGTTAATTACTGGGAGGGCAAAACTTATCATATATGGCCCCAGGTATGGAAATATCATTCAACAAAAGAAAATGCAATTTTCAGGGCTACTGCCTAGCATCGTCCTCTAATAGTGGTTCCTAGTTGCAGCAACACCTTAAAGTCAGCTGGGGGGGATTTTTGAAATTACACATGTCGGAGTCCCACCCCCAGGCAACTGAATCAGAACACCCAGCATCCCGCTGGTGACTGCTGTATTTCTTTGTTCCCTGGGCAATTCTTAGCTACTTAGGGTTGAGGACACTGAGCTTCCTCGGGCAAGAGCTCTCCATCCGGCTCCTCATTAGAGTCACTCAGGGAACTGAAAGTCACTAGCGATGCCAGGCCCACTCCACACCAACTGGAGAGGCCCTTCTGGAGGAGGGCCCGGCATGGGTGTGCCTGCCTTTTGGAAGCCCTTCTGGGGACTCCAGTGTGCATCCATGATAGAGAGCACCTGTTTCGTGGGGGACCTCCCTTTGGTTCACCCGCTCGCCCTGAGCACAGTGCATTTTGGATGTGCATCAGAATCCTTTCTGGCCCTAAAAAAAATAGGGAGCTGTGCACACCCCACCCCAGGAGTCCCTGGTTGAATAAGCCCATGTGGAGATCAGGCCATCAGTACTTAAGGAATAGAAAGACGAGCTGTCTGCATGCACCCCCAGGGCAGGACAAGAAACTCCCCAAGGAAAGTGTCACAAAGCGCAGGCTGAATAAGCAAACTACGCGAGGGAATGCAGGCCAGTGCTGGGGAAGGAGGTAAGTTCACCTGAGGAGTAAACACTAAAGCAGTGTAACCTCAGAGCCATGACAGAGAGCAGCAGAGGTTTCAGGTCACGGTACCTTTTGAGCATTGTTCCATGTCCTCTGAAGACTGCAACCATAAAGGAACTCGTGTCTCGCCGCCACAAAGATATGATAAATTGCTTCCAGCTTGGAGCGAGTTCTGCTTTGATATACTGCTACGCTGTTCCACAGAAGACAAAAACACATTGTAGGTGAAAACAGAGCCCAGCAGGGACACTCTAGGGTAAAAGGGTAACACCATGGGCTGGTCGCTCTTGGAAGCCTCCTGCCCACAGTGGGAAAGACGCTGCTAGCAAAGCACTCCACTGAAGAACTTGGCTCTGGCTGCCACCCCAGCCTGGCCATACCACACTATGTGGCCTTGGACTACAGTCCTTAATTTCTTCTGTCAAATGATAATCATATCAAAATAATGATATAAATGCCGGGAGATTTTGCAATCCTGTAGGGCTACAAATGTTCCTGCTGCATTTTACAACCAGATAAGAAAACCAAAGTCAGATTGGTCAAGAGGACACTGGAACATTCGGGGCTGATAAATTCCTTTTTACATGCTCTGCTTCAGTTACTGTCTCAGAGATAACAGATGCTCTTCTGGCCTGGTTCGGGCTGGTTGGGCAAGCAGACCCATTACACACCAGCTCAGCCTTACCTGCTCCTGCCCTCAAGCCTTCCCTTCCTCGACACAGCTCCCCCCTCCTTCAAAGTGAGACTTCCCCACTCAAAGCCACCCCCTTTTCTAGATTCATTATTGGCAAATTACTACCTTCCTACTTGAAATGGAGTCAAAGGCCCCATCCACAGAGTCTGTGACGGTGGATCCCGGGAAAAAGTGATTAACTTCATGGGGAAACATAGCGATTTCATTCTGACGATACATCCTGTGGTGGCGGAGTCTGGATACCCACTCATCAAAGACGTCTACTGACTTTACCTAAATTGCATTAAATTGAAAGAAGGAAACAAGAGCATCATTCACTGAAAGGAACAATTCTTCATCAAATCAAGGTAACTAACTCTTGGCACCCTCTCTTTTCACATTGGCATGTGCAGAAACATAGAAGTATCAGCTTATTGACTTACTTTACATTTATGTGATCTGTGGGAACAAATTTGGGGAGGAAATGGAGAGTAAAATTGGTCTCCATAAACGATATACTTAGGCTGTCTATGAAAGGGTCCAATTATTATGCTATTATTAAGAAAGCAAATCAGTATCAGTTATATTAAACAACTAAAACTGAAATTTGTATTTATCTCTCTCAAAGCATTTCCAAGTCCTCTTATCCCATCTTTTCCTGTCCCTGCTGAAAATACTAGCACCCGATTTCTTTTAAAACTCTTTTACAATTCCAGCTTTTCAGATTAATCTTCTCTGAAATGGAATGAATTAGTAAGTTCTTCTGAAACATTTACCCTTGTTAATATTCTCTGTCAAAAAATACATTGCTGAGGAATATATGTTAATCAATGTGAAGGTTATTTAAAGGAACAATTTTCCTGCTCTCGGAAATAGGAAAAGTCAAAGTATTATCTATGATTTCCAGTATTTTTCAAACACACACACACACACACACATTTAGCCATTTTCTCCATAAATGAGCACCTATCGACATCTAACTTCCATGAAGAATAATATTTATAAATAGTAACTTTTAGGATAAAATAATTCAAATGGTCATAAAAATACAGCAAAGAATAAAACAGACACCTATGCAGCACAGGTATTTCTTAATAGTCAATATTTTTGTGTGCATGAGGATATATTAATATTTTCAAAGTGAAAAATGATATATACCTATATATTGGAACACCGAGGCTCCTGAAGTGGCAATTTATAATACCCCAAAAGGATGCACGGTAGGTTAACTTCTAAAAAGAAAAGTTCAGGTCGATCCTGTTATAATCTTTACAATCGCCGCTGCTGAAGGCAAGGATGTGGAAATAACTGTTGGAGCATCGCTCACTTCGGAAATGTTAGCTTGGCTCTTTCATTTGCTGTGTTGATTAGAAGTATGCACAAGACTGAACACCTTTCCAGGAGCTTTTGAGTGTGTAGAGGAAGAAGCAATACAAGCGCTCCCCTCTCTGTCTCCCCTAAATGGTGTTTTTGAAGTATAGTCATTTCCCCGATGTGGCGAGCAGACAGGTTACAGGAATCTACGTCACCCTTTGCCCTGTTCTCCCCTCAGGGGCCCTTACCCCTCAGCGCCCACAGGGTTCTCCGCGACCCACTGTGCGCTGGCTGAGCAGCGTAGACAGGTGGAAGCCCGTCTTTATTAAAGAACAGACCTGGGTTCAGCCCCTCAAGTAGCTCTAGGACTGTGAATGGACAGCTCGTTAATCCTGCTGCCAGATCCTTCATCTAGAAAATGAGGGAAGGGGACTGGACGACCCACATTTAAAAACTGCCTGCCTCTGAGGCTGTGAACTAGGCGCTTCAGGTAACTACACAGACCCACATGGCCGTCACAGCGGAGATTTGAAAGAAGGAATAAGAAGGACACATAGAACTTACAGAGAATCAATGCAGAGAAGTATTGGACTCTGTTAGTCATGACACTAGCACCTAACGTATCTTAAGGCATTCTAGTTCTTTAAAAATCAGGAATCAATAATCGCTATTATTCAGGTAACTGGAATAGCAGGTACACAAGAACCTATAATTTCCTGACCATGTCAAAACACAAACTAAGAGTCATGGGAAAGTCATGGAGAAATAACCTAAATTATTGTAAAGAAGATGCCCATTTAAATGGAAGTGGGGAAAATATTCTTTCTTAAATCTTTTTTTTTTTTAAATTAAGATTAGAGGTCTCTCCCTTCTCTATTTCATACTAGTTGTTCTCAGCCAGGGGTGATTTAGCCCCTCCCCCTGGGGGACAGTTGGCAATGTCTGGAGACATTTCTTGGCTGTAATAACTGGAGGCGATTGTTGGTGACATCTTGTGGGTAGAGGCCAGGATGCCACTCAATGTCCCACAACGCACAGGATCGGCCCCCACAGCAGAGTTCTCCAGACCACCAGGTCACCAGCATTGAGTATAAGAAACGCTGCTTTCACAATTAATTGCACCCGCAGGTACAGGCTTAGGCTAGGAAACAGTACGGCCTGACTGTCTAGTGCAGTCAATCACTCACAAGCATGTGCTGTGTGTATTTGCCCAAGCACCACATACACGCCATGGGGAGGTCAGGGACATCGTAAGATGTGGGGCTCATAATCTCACGCTTGTATTCTCCCAGCGCTCAGCCTCCAATGCCAATAGGCCAAATAATGTGCCCAAGTAAGAAGAGTTTTAACACTTTCTCAATTAATTTCTAACATTCGGATACCACCTAATAATTATGTATAATACCTAACCTTATGGGGATTCCTGTGGGCCAGACATTATACCAAGTTTCCTACTCTAATAATTGCAATTTTGGGGGGTGAGAAAACTGAAACTTTCAGAGATTAAATAATTTGTCATAAGGCCAACAGCTAGTAAGTAGCCAGGTCAAGAATTGAACCAGATCTGAATCCACAAAGCTCTTGTTTCACACTTTTAACCGTCTCTCCCACCTGCAGGAGAGAGGGGACAGAGGGTAGTCAAGCAGCTCTGAGAGCTACTATGTAGAGGCCCACACTTTAGGGGAAAAATTCCTAACATTCAATTTAATATGAACATTTTAATGGAATCCATATAAAGTTAGCCAAAGCTGTAAGACAGACTAAATATTAAGTATTATCTTTCAAGGCCCATAGTTTAACCTATGGCAAATGCTTCTTGACTAAAGGTGGTACCATCTGGGGAAGCGAGTATTGTATCTGGAAACACAATGTTTTGGTTATTGATCATTGTCACTGTCATGGGGGAGGGGGTGTTTGGAGAATGAGGGGACAAAGATGCTAAACCTTCAGCAGTGTGACAATCCCTCACAAAAGGGTCCATCAGAAATACTTCCATACTGAAGACCTTCTACCAGGTGGCTGGGAATATTCAAAAGGCATCACCAGGGGCCTTGTACTGCACCCTGAAGGAACGCTGGAACAGGGGCCGGCGCCCGGGAGGCAGTCTCACCTTCAGGTGGTAGATGTGCTCCTCGGTGTCCAGATCTATGCATTTTGATGACTTCTTCACAGACATCACCGAGAGCCCAACGTCAATGCAGCCATGCAGCTTCTCTCTCTCTATCTGCAGAGGCAGGAGGAGGTCACTTGAGAACCGGGTGTTAAAGTGGTGGTAACATCCTTGACACTCCTTCCCTCTACCCTCACCACCGTGGCAACCGTAAGAATTACGACTTACCAAGCACTTAGTGTGAACCAGTACTGAGTTCTAAGTGCTGTACATGCGTTACCCTATTTAATCTGTGAGGGATTAGGTAACAAGTGGTTTATGCAGCCAGTCAGTGAGGAACCAAGAAGGTGAGCCCCATGGAGTGACTCCCAGGCAGCAAATTCACTTTCGACTGCACTGCCTCCCAGAGTTAGTTTCCAGTGTCTACATTCATGGGAAAGTGATTTAAAAAGAGGAGTCAGGGCAGGAAGCCAAGACAGGTAACTGTGGATCCGACACTGGGCCAAGCGTCCTGCACACAACCGTACAAGATGAGCACCGTAAGGGGGGCGAGGAGAGGAAGGGGCGGAAGGGAAGTGCTGGGTGAGAGAAGGGCCCCCGCGAGGGGCAGAAGCAACAGTCGCTCCAAGCCGTCTTGGGCCATCTGCTTAGTGTTAACACCAAAGGGGACCGTCCTGTCACCTTCACCAAGGGTCCTCCACCAAACCCCTCAGTCACTGTAACGGTGGCAGTGGCACTCGCCCTATGTTTTGTCCCTGTTATCTTGCTGCAGAAATGTCTTCTCCCACTGAGAGAACCCCTCAGCATGACCCTAAGGCCAGAACAGTCCCCTGGCTACACAGTAGGGTGTTGAGAGGAGCCCCTGGAGCCACTCAGCAGGTGAACAGAGCCCACCTAGAACCCAGAGCTGGGACAGTGGGGAGCAGCCACCTCTGCTGCATGTGCGGGGGTTATCGGCCCGCTGTGGCTCCCGGTTCAGAGAAATGGAGTCGCCTCCAGCATGTGCACAGTCCCATCCACGAGCTGACCACACCTAGCCCTTCCGGATTCTCCAAAAGCAAGTTGGATTAATAAGGAGACTTACATCAGTTTGGCTCTTGGCATATTTCAAGATTCCTTTGTCCAGATAGAAGAATCTCTGTGGGAGAGAAAGTACAATTCAGGAACACATTCCATTTAAAAGGCTGTTCTTCCCTTGGTCCCAATTTTCAAATTTAAATTAAGTGCCCAGGAACTGAGTGCTGAGTGCGGTGGTCTGGGTGCAAACAAAGGTGAGCCCAAGGCCCGCGTCCTACCTTGTGCCAGCCTTTCAGGGGCCATTTCCGCTTCTTCAGCAAGAACCCCTTCTGGATTGGTGGCTCCTGGGTGTAATTCACCTCTCCCCTCAGTCCTTCTACCACTTCCCAGCTGTCCTGTTCCAACGGGAGAGTTCATGTTAAATGGCTGTCTTTAAAAATAATTGTCATATAATAAAAAATAAATAAATAAACAAAGAAAATCATCACCAAAATAAAAAGACAATCCACAGAATGGGAGAATATATTCAGGGATACATCTGATAGGAGGTTAACATCCAAAATTTATAAAGTGCTTACAAAACTCAACATTGAAAAAAAACAAACCACCCAATTAAAAAATGGGCAAAGGACCTGAATAGACACTTCTCCAAAGAGGACACAGAAATGGCTAATAGACATATGAAAAGATGCTCAACATCACTAATTATCAGAGAAGTGCAAATAAAAACCACAGTGAGATACCATCTCACACCTGTTAGAATGGCTGACATCAATAAGTCAGAACTGACATGTGCTGGCAAGGATGTGGAGAAAGGGGAACCCTAGTGCACTGCTGGTGGGAACGCAGACTGGTGCGGCCGCTGTGGAGAGCGGTGTGGAGATACCTCCAAAAATTAAAAATGGATCTGCCTTTTGACCCAGCAATCCCACTTCTGGGAATATATCTGAAAGAACACAAAACACTAATTCGAAAGAACATAAGCACTGCTATGTTCATTGCAGCATTATTTACAGTCACCAAGATACAGAAGCAGCCCAAGTGTTCATCAGTAAATGAGTGGATAAAACAACTATGGGACATTTACACAATGGAATTCTATTTGACGGTAAAAAAGGAGAAAATTTTCACCCTTTTGCAACAATATGGATGGTCTTGGAGAACATTATGCTAAGTGAAATAAGCCAGTCAGAGAAAGACAAATACCATATGGTTTCACTCATATGTGGAGTCTAACAAACAAACTAAACTAACAGGCAAAACAGAGGCAGACTCATAGATGGAGAACAGATGACAGCTCGTGGGGGCGTGGTGCGGGGAGGTGAGGAGGTAGAAGGACTGAGCAAAAAGGAAAAAAGACTCACGGACATGGACAACAGTGTGGTGGTTGCTGAGGGGAGGGGGTTTAAGGGGACTAAATGGTAATGGAAAAAAATATAATAAAGATTATATATTTAAAAAAATAAAAAGTAATAATGACACTAAGAAGTCCTTCATGCTATCAGTAAATCCATCCAAGATGGAAAGTCTGGCTGGGTTTGTTGGGGAGAAGAGATTTCGAATTTAATTTTTACACTATTCCTGGATTTTATAGACTTGCTGCTATAATTCAATGGTATCAAGTTTGATTTTTTTCCCCTCTCAAAAAGCTCTTAGAAGGGAATGTTTCTCTCTCTTTGGGTGCTCAAACCTTGGCAACCCTGGCTAAGGGAAAAGATTGCACTGTTAAGTTCTATTTTTGTTCCCTTTGATATTATCACACAGTCACTGTTTACTCACCACTGGATCTTGGTCTGAGTTTTAACTAAAAGCTACAGACGCGAGGGTTGAAGAAGGGGTGGGGTGAGGTGGGAATATGGTAGGACTGGCTTAAGAATTGGATGGAAAGTATGAGTGTGTGTGAAGTTGGTAAATATGATAACTTGGTCAAAATAATGACTTAGTCGCAGGTTATTATCTTCAAATTCTAGGTATTTAAATATTGAAAACTCTAAAGCATCAAGAAAGTGCTTTTGCAATAAGTATTTTCATATTCTTCCAGCAACTTTGTTTGCTTTCCCCTTTCTTTTGTTTCAAAAACTTTTCTGGTTGGCCAATTATTGCTCTACTGAGCTGTTTGCAATTTTGAAGATGTACAAACAGTTGTTACAATTAATCTTCCATTGTTGACTATTTAAGTTGTTTCAACTAATTGACTGAAAAAGCATTTTAAAAAGGGATGCAAAAGAAAAATACTAAAAATTCTGAAGATTTATTTTTAAATGCTTGACAATGCATAAATCATGGCAAAATTATCTCAAGATAGATCAAAATTGGCAATACTTCAGTGGCTAAGATAACGGACTTTTTGGTTATTATTTTTATTGGGATGTAATATACGTGAAATGCACAATTTCTAAGAGTACAATTCAATGAATTTATATACCTATATCCTCAGTAATTACCATCTAGATCAGAGAGAAAGCATTTTGAACACAGGGTAATTAAACTTTGACAAATATTATTGAGATTATTGGCATATAACACATATGTAAGTTCAAAGCATACAAGGTGATGATTTAATATACTTCCACTTTCTCACATAATTACCAATTTTTCTGTTGGCTGTGATAATATTTAAGATCTACTTCTCTTAACAACTTTCAAATATGTAATACAGTACTATTAATTATAGTCACTGTGCCATACATTAGATCCCACCTTGCTATATACATACTTTCTAGCTCCAGGAAAGCAGGAACCTTTTCTGTCTTGTTCACTACTTAATAAAGCATAGTATATATAAATATGTTAAACAAATTAACAAAGCAATTACAATAGCTAACATTTATTAAGCCTCAGGTAGTATGCTAATGACCATACTTAAAATACTGTGCTTAGTCCTTCCACAATTCTGTGATATTGAATTTATTAGTATCTTTATTTTTTTAATAAGGAAACTGAGGAAAAGAGAATTAGATAACTTCCCCAGTGTTATAAAGCTGCTAAGTGACTGCAAAATCTACATTTTTAATCATTCTACTCCATATTATAGCATACTGTATATTCTGCAGTAATTTAAATATGTGACTTCTGATGAACCAGAAATAAATGCCCCAGGGCAGAAGACAGAGGTGGGTAAACTGAAGAGGTGGCCAAGAACCTGAAACAACCTTAGGCAGTTAAGAAGCACTGCCCTGTAGATGCTGACCAGCAAGGCCTGGGACCCTGCTAAGACATACCAGGCTGCCATCAGCTAGTCCGACCATGCTGTGGCAGGAAATCAGCCTGTGCATTTTGATGCAGCCAACTCTTTGCTCCTTGGCTCTTTTATATCTGAAGGTCTGCCCCATCTACTTCTCAGCTGGGGAGTTCTCATTTAGCCCCAAGCCTCCTCCTCAAACAGAAATCCACTTAGTCCTCAGCACATATGCAAACCTCACTTGCATTGTCTGTCTCCCTCACTAGTGCAAGTTCCATGGGGACAGGAGCTGGATACTGGTTATTATAATCTCACTCCTTGGGACATAGGGGCCCTAAATAAATACTCACTGAGTGAGCGTGAGGAGCACGGGAGAGCATAGAGAGGGCCTCACCAGGGCTTTGGGTGAAGGACTTTCATGCAGTGTGCTGGGTTGGGGTGAATGGGTACTCAGGACAGAACAAAGCTGAAATGCCAGTTTCTCTTGGATAAAAGGACTGGGCGTCCGGGAGTGGCTCTGCCTGTTGGTCACATACCCAGTGACCAGGGAACAGGACATGCACCTTGAGCTGAGATACACAGTACAGGGTGGACTTGGGCCCCTGGGGAGATCAAGGCCATGCTGACTTAGCCCGACGTGGCTGGGCTGATGTCCCGTCACAGGGGAGTCAGGCCTAAAGCTCACCATGAAGAGCAGGTGGAGAGAGAAACCTGGCAGGGTATAGAGGGAGGGGCTTCTTCAGGTTTTCGCTTGAGTTTAACTGAAGACAGTCTGGCACTGTCACTCGGCATTAAATTCAGGCTGTTTTACTGAATGTCTAAAAAGTGCCAAATATAGAAAGAGACTCTGTGGTTGGAAAGGCAGCTAAGCATTTACTCATGCTCACGAGCGGGCCAAGTTCACTTCCTTATTGCTGACTGCACGCGAGGAAAGCGCTTCTCTCCAGCACAGCTGTCTCCCCGGTGCACCTCTCCTGCGCACCTTGCAGAGGCCCGTTCTCTGCCACGGTCCCAGCAGTGACGTTGGAAATAGAAAAGGATTTCAATGTTCATCCTCCCTGCAGCTGAAGAGCTTGATGGAAGGAAGCTTTGTGGTTGCCTCTATCTGCCATGACTCAGAGAGTGAGATGTGCTGATGAGTTGTTGAGTCTGTTTTTCGAGGTTTTAAAAATCATAAGGCAAGACCCAAAATGAAATCACATGGAGCATAATCTAAATGTGTCTTTAATGATCAAAGGCATTTGCGATCTTCTACAGCCTCAGGATCATCAATATCAGCTTTTACGACTGTACTATGGACATGTGGAAATACTTGTCCATAGAATTCCAGTTAATGTAACGGCAGCTTTAACTTTTGTCAAGCCAATTCTGTACTTACATTTCTTCTTCTTCTTTTTTTTTTAAGCAATGTGTTTAATTGGATGATTTCCACAAACTATACATGAAGTCTCTAACCATGACAATTCAGAGAAGTACAAAACATTAAGTTACAGGCCGAGGGGTGATAAACCAGCACCGAAGGTGGCAACTTCCATGTACTTACATTTCAATTACTGAGATTTGCAATGGTTGCTTCTTGCCCATTGTTTCTCCCTCAGCTAAGGTTTTGTGGACACCAGTGGGCCTGACAGCAACAGCCAGTAAGGGAGCAAACGAGCAGGGAGTGCAGTGGCTGTGCATGTGCTCCAACGCAGTGCTTCTCACACTGCAATGTGCACATCATCACGGAAGACCTTGTCAACATGCAGATTTAAGCTCAGCAGGTCTGGGGCGAGGCCTCAGTTTCTGCACCCACACAGATGAGCCCACCGCCACTGCCGCTGCTGCTGCTGCTGCTGCTGTTGCTGCTGCTGCTGGGCCACCAGCCCACTTAGGACAGCCACCCACTAAGAGACCAGGCAATCTTGAGAATTAGGATTTGACTCAATTGGCGCTGAGGGCAAACCCAGGACTAATGGGTAGGAGTTATAAGGCCTTGCATTTCAGGTCTGCATAACAGAGGGATTGTCTGATTATATAATAGAGTTATGAAAAATGACAAAAACGACATGGTTAGTCTATGAAAGAGCAAGTCCTTTAGTCACTGGAAAGCTCTGTCAGAGGTACGCGCAAGAGGGGATTCCTAGACTAGGAAGGAGGTCAGAATAAATGTGCTGTGACATCCCTTCCAACTTTTATATCATAATCTCATATCATATTAAGGGAATATAAAGT